ATTTAGGAATAGAAATCATAACCACATACCATTTAGTAAAGAAAGGAAAAAAACCTTCAGAGTCATACTTAAGAAAATATTCCTGGAAAGGATTGGACACAGACTGGAAAGCTAGACGTACTAGTTAGTGACATACTGGTAAGTTCCAAAATAAGTTTATAGGAAATCTCTAATCATTGCTTCTTATAGTTTCTTTGCTAGTATAATTGAAATAAAAAGAGCACGTTGCTTTATTTAAAAGCAACACTAAGGATGGGACAAAACCAAATTACAGGCTACAGAATTCTTTTCTGTTTGAGGTACTTACATCTGCTTTAAATGTACTTGCATTTTGCAACACATCTTAACAAAGCTCCTGGCAAATAAAATTGTGCGTGTGTGTGTTTAGGGACTATATTTAACTGCCAGCATTTCCACTTCACATTTCCCTGCTTCTAGTAATGAATTTGATGCTGGACAATTATTATTACCAGACAAATCAAATGCACAGTAATCCATAGCATTTCTAGAGAGCAGCCTTCCCCAATGTGGTGTCTTCCAGATGTGTTGTGATTCTCAGAATTCCCTCGCCAGCAACCCATTTCACTATGGTTTGGGTAAATTAGAACTTTGGCATATATCATAAGAACACTATTTGCTATCATGAAATTATGTGTCCTAGAAATGTTTCCAGTGATGAATTAATTCTCCCCAATTTTTTTTGCAGAGGGGTATTCCGCCCCCCCAAATTTCCCCCCACAAATAGAAGAGCAATTCTTACAGCAAAGCTGTGGGTGATATAGTTTGTTGCTGGAGCAGATGGGAGAAATGTGATTGTTTTCATTTTACTCAGAATTTTCAAAATTCCCAAATTCTGAATTCAGAAGTAAACAAAACCACCAAATTTGCCCATATCTAAATTAAGACAATGATTTTTTTTTCTGTTGAGATCACCCATTCCAAATCTGATACTTATTATTTCAGCCATTTTATGTACATTTTTTTGTCAATGTGGCTTTCAAAAAGCGGACTATGAATGGAAATAATTTTTTTTTGTATTGCTGTGTGGATCAAAATCATTACACTATTACTACAGGGAAAGGGGTAGGGTTTTGAATGCTTTCAGAATTGGTTGCTTGTACTTATTTCTGAGTAAACAGTACTTTTCACTTCCCAGGGTGCTTCTGTTCTGGCAATCCTAGTTGTGTCTTTACAGAAGAAACCATTAATATCTGTTGAGGTTTGATTCCTTGTCTCCCTATGGATACCAAAATCTGTGACTACTCAAGTCCCATGATATTGACATAGTAAAATGGTGCCTCTTATATAAAATGTTGAACAGCTCAAAAAAGTGTTGGAAATCCTGAGGATCTAGGGTGTGTGTATACACACACACACACACACACACACACACACACACACACACACAAAGAGAGATGGTTGGCTGAATCTGCGGATGTAGAATCCATGGATATGGGGAGCTGACTGTACTAACAGAAGCATAATTTTCTTCATACTGTACTGATTCCAGCTTCTCTCCCTCTCTTGCTCTCTCCCTCCATGATGCCAAACATACCAGGAATAAAAACCACACAAAATCAACTAACCTAAAGTTCCTCAAAGAGGACAAGAGGAAAACAAACAGCAATCTCCCAAAGTGGACGAGAGCAAAGCAGAACAGCAATCTCCCAAAGCAGACAAGAGCACGGGTCACGGAGGCTGTCCCATTAAACCCTAAAGCCCTGAAGGCTGGCGCTAGTGCTCCCTCTGGTGCTAGTTCTTAACTCAAAATACTGCTCTTATGACAAAACAAACCCAAGGCTGAATGACAGCTCTTAACTCAAAATGCTCTTAGGATGCTCTTAAGTAGAGGTTCCACTGTACTTCATAGGAAGGCGCTGCTAAATCATTTCTAAGTATTCCTATGACATTCACGGGGGTTGCCATAAGTTGATAGGAATCATGTTTCTTGGATCCTCTGAATAAGCATAGAGGCACTGCTGCACTGTGAACATGCTTTGGTTTGCTGTGGAGTAAACGTGGAGTAATGTTATGCAATTCTGCCCATATTTATTGTCTGTGCCACAGCTGTGCCCCACCTCATCCATGTTGACAACTGGAGCTCTCATGAATAAAAAGACTAATCTTGTGTGGTCTGGTGTCTCATTTTGAGTCTTTATGTGGTAGTTTCAAACATGTTTTAGAAAGAAGGTACAATGGAGATATTCCCAGATTTCCATGCAGAAAAATCAGAAAAATAAAAGGGTCCTAACAAAAGTAAATAATGGCATTATTCTGACATGGTTGATCCCCCATTTCAGGTTTGTTAGTTGCATCATCATTTGCAAAACACACGTTTGTAGACAATTCTTGAAGGTAACCAAAATGCAGTTTTCTTCCTATTCGTATATTTATTACTTCTGCCTCTTCACTTTGAGATAAGAGCATTTCCAGTTAAGAACTTGGTCACAGAACCAATTAAACTCTTTAGTCAAGGTAGCACTGTATAGCCGAGTGCATTTTAATCTTTGTGGGAGAGTAGTGTGTGGCAAAAAATGCAAAAGCTGTGCTTATGTCAGAGTACAGCTGCAGAATGAGGACAATCCCAGAGAAAGGGGGAGAAAAATCATGTTTGTCAGTCTTTCAAATAATTGCAGGTGATATGCTGGAGGAGAAAAGGAAACTACTTGCAGATTAAAGGTGGGGGGCAAAATCATGTTGCTAGTGGTCAAAGCTCAATGAGCAATATGGGTGCTTCTTATGAGGGAAATGATTACACTGCAGAAGTTAAAAGCTTTAAAACATATTGTATATATATTTAAAATTAAAAATGCCTCCAGCTTGGAGCAGCCAAATTCTTTTATAGCTTGTTTCCAATACTAGTTCTCTAACTTTCTTAAGTAGTCTAAGATGGATTTGCTGTCTACCTTAAACTGGAGAGCGGTCACTGAACAATGAAGACACATTGTTGCTGCTGTTCAAAAGCTTTGCTATTGGACTGAAATAGAGTGAATTGAAAACTAAGTTTTCCACAAGGACTACGTTCAAGCAATGCTGGATGCTACTCAGCTGGCTTTTTCCAGCTGATGGAAAAATGAATAAATGTGTAACTTCTTCAGAGCGTATAGCTCAATGCATCCAGTGTCATGATAAAGCCTGTGTATGTGCAGTGTGTGCGCTGCCTGCCTGCAAAGCAAATTATAACCTCTGTGGCAAGAGCTGTGCTTCAAATAGCATAACATATAAATTCAAGTCTGAATTTGCTGCTGTCTTGAGAATGAATGCAAGATTTTGAGAATGATCTAAGAAGTGTTGCAAAATAGGGGAGTCCAATATTGAACATAATACAACTTCTCCTTTGCATGTCTCATTGGGCATGCACAGGAGGAATTAACAACAGGAATGTAGGTTAAAGTTCAGAAGAACACTGTTCCTTTGAATTGTATTGTCCAATTGGACAATTGTGTTCAAGTGGAATAATAATAATAAAACCAAATGGGCAAGGACACAATTTTTGTTTTTAAGATGTGTCTTATGATTTTGCTGTCTTTGCATATGTGTGGTTTATATACCTCCCAGAGAACATTATTAGGTAATCTCAAAATGCAATAGTAGGTCTAAATCCAATTATTTACCTTGAAGGAGACCTACTGAACTTTGGAAGTTAACACATATATAATTTCCATTAAATCAGTGGGTGTTCTGTAACTAGGACCCACGGGCATTAAAAAGATACAAAACCCTTTTGAATCACAAGCACTTAAGAACAACCTGCGTATACTTTTTTTTTTTACATGAACATCTCTATATGTATGGGGGTTGTCAGTTTCTAGGACTGGTGAGTAAGGATCAAAAGTGTCTTCCTTCACCCCAAATACATGCTATTGAGGTCCTGCTGAAGTTTGAAGTGTCGTTCTGAAGGCCTTTGAAGTGCTGCTTAGTTTGCTCCACTGGCTGCTGCTAAGTTTCTGGTACCAATTCAAGATGCAGGTTATTACCTGCAGAGCCCAGTTTAGTTCCAGACTATTTTTGCAATCACATTTTCCCCTATGAACCTGTGTGAGCTCTAAGATCTTCTGGGGAGGCCCTTCTTTTGCTCCCACCTCTATCACACGCAGTTGGTGGGGACGAGGGAGAGGGCCTTCTCGGTGGAGGCCCCCCAGCTCTGGAACTCTCTCCCTAGGGAGATTAGATTAGCGGCCACCCTGTCCACTTTTCATAAAAACCTAAAAATATGGTTGTTCTAATGTGCCTTTGATTAATCGGTTCACTAAATGAACTGGCCCATCTAGCCATAACTCTTTACTGTTAAAGAAAATAATACTTTCCATAGCAATCCTTAGGTATTTTCACACAGGAGTCAAATAATGATGACATTATGTTCATTTTATTAATAAACAATGACAGATTTGTTTCTTTCTGAAAACAGTTACTAAAAGAAACTGCTTTGTGTTGCTTTGTGGTAAAGTCAGAACTAAGGCCTCTCACATTGCCTCTATTCTAATGTTATACAGCTGGTTTGCTGAGGAGACTACTCATGATGCAGAACATAGTAGTACAGTGAAGAAGGCAGTCCCTTAAGATATTTGGGATGAAATACATGGAATTGTTTCCAATTGATAGCTGAAAAAAGAAACTAATCAAATGTTCAGAGTGTATCTGAAAGACAAAATCTTATACAAAGAAATTACTATTAACTAAGAGTACCTTTTTAGAATCCATAGTATTTACCGATTTAGCACCATTATATCACTTTTTGTTTTGATATCAAATATTTGGGTTAAAGATCCAAGGACTAAGATATTTCTAGAACTGGTTAATGGTACACTGTCCTTGTGATTTCTTCAGTGAGCATGTACTAAGTCATCTTGAAAGACTTCCAAACCAAAAATACCAAATAAAAGCCAAACAGTAGATCTGAGCTGGAAGAATGGATGTACAGGGATGGATGAATACCTTTCATTGTTCATATGGACAAATCAGCTTTAGATTACTTTAGTTTAAATATCACCAAAAATGCATCAGCAGCAGTGAGTGCCTTTAATATAGGTACAAATTAGTCAGTAAAGAAGAATATACAGGAATGGATGATTAGCATATTGAATGGGTTGTCCCAAAATACATGGTGATCCCTTTAGACAAGCAATTGGTATTTCAAATGCTGCTTGAAATGAATTATTTGGGGATTTTTTTTTTTTGGGGGGGGGGAAGAAAAATGGAGGAAAACAAAGAACATGCATAGTCTTTAATGATGCACTAGAAGTTAACATGAGATGAATCTCAAGGGGAAACATTACTTTACTCTTCCAGGAATCCAGGCTTTCCACAGTATTAGACTATTATACATCTGCATAAATAACACCTCTTGGTTTAGCTGAATCCATAATTAATCAATACACAATATTTTCTTTAGTCATGGATACTTACTAAATACGTTTGAACTGAGGACTATTATTTATGAAATATTCATGTGAGAAATCGATCAAAAGCAGCAAAATGCACATCATAAAAAGAATCCATACAACAAAATGGAATAGGAGAGGTCAAACACTGGTGTTATTACTTGGCCAACCAACCTTGAGAACTTACTCAAACAATATGAGGGGAAACACAGAAGTGTAGGAGTAAGAGGTTACACCCTTAGAACCTTGCTCTCTAGTAAAGGCATGGAAAGAGCAGAAGATAATGAAAGGATTAATAAATGGACGCTGTTGAAAATTAAAGGAAAGACTAGTATGATCCCTGCAAGTCTGACATGAGAGAACACAGAATCTTTTCCTTCATCTTTGGGAAACGCACACTGAGTAACTTGCTCTCCAAAGGGCTCATAGGAGGAGTTGAAGGTGCTGGAACTTGGTCACTCACTAGGAGGTATCTCCTGAAAGAGAGGGGAAGAGAAATAAATGTTCAAATATTTTTGGGTAGTTCCATAACTTCCCAATTATTTTTGGCAAGTTCCAAAAATACAGTGGCAATGAGCCTGAAAAAGTGAAGGAATTAAAAAGAGCGACACAAAAATTAACTTTCAAATTTTAATGTTTCATTATATCAAACTGTATTATATTTGTCTACTAATGCCAAGGAGTTATTTCAATATGTTAAGCTTTGTTGTTATTGTAGTTTGTTATCAATAGGAATGATCTCCAGGAATTGAAGATTTATGAGGATGAACTGAGGATGAGGACTTCATCCTCCAACAAAGTTGAAGGCAGTTAGTTTCCTGCATTGTCTTAGCGCCATTGATTCCCACACACCAATGGTAATCAAGAATTACCAGTATTAGGAATTAATGAGTTTGAATACTCAGGTAAAGTTCTCTTTCACATTCCAATATAGCAGGAATTGTTTTTTACATTTTAATTTTAAATCTTTCTCTGAGGCAATATAATTTCATTTTCCTTCTCTATAGAAATCTCTGCTGGCATCCTCCCCACTCTCTCTCAGAAAAACAAAAGAATGGAAACCCAGAAAGAGAATTGAACTTTTCATGATATTTATTTTACAGTAGTAAAAACAAAAGAATGGAAACCCAGAAAGGGAATTGAACTTTTCATGATATTTATTTTACAGTGGTAAATTTGCCAGGTCAGTACAAGTTTGACATGGTCCTATCTGTTTGCCATTGCATGCTGTGATGTTGGCCAAGGTGATGGGGTCTGCTGGAAAAAAGGGGTAGAGGGGTTATGGCAAATGACAGAAGACAGGTTCATGTTGCAAACTTAAAGCTCAGATCTTTGTTTCTGTTGGTTCTATCCTTTTTCTCAATATCATGGGAGAAGGTCAATATATTAGTAATATTACCGGACACTGCCAATATGGATATTATTTCTGATTTGTTAACTATATGCTGGAACCAGCTCAACTGTTCCTACAGGCCCTAACTTGGGGTGGGGGAAGTACAAATTCTGTGGCAAAATCTAGACTTTCTCCTGACTTTAGCTAATGTGGGGCAAGGTCCTGTTACAGTGTCCTTGCCCCACATTACTGTGAATTACCCCAAGCAGTGCTTGGATACCATAGCGCTAATCTGCCTCCACACCAACCTAAGTGGTCAATATAGATGGGACCGTGGACATATCACAAGTATGAGGGTGACATCATGTGTCTGTAGTCCTCTTCTAGATTATTCTAGTTGTGATATGGTGTTGGACAAATTATCTAATCTACCTAGGTGGGCAACTGCACAATGATCTCTAGACTGTAGAATGGAGAACTGACATCATTAGGTGATTCTTGCCATGTAGTAGTTCTGTCAATCATCTGCCATAAGAGAGAGCTTCAAGGAATTTAAGGCCATTTTTGATAAACAACCCTAAACAAATATGGCAGGTGCTGCTAGTACACATTTCCAGATTTACACATTTTCTGAAAATAATATGATGTACCGGTAGTACAATACTTTTATATTAAAGTATCCAGCAAGTTATCATCTCAGTTCTGTTGCACAATACTAATGTTTTTCCCCTAAAGCAAGCACATTTATTTAGAGTTTACTAAAGAGAGAAGAAGTTATAAACCTTTTTTTTAATCCTGAAAAACAAACAAAATGCATGGTGAAAATTAAAGTTATTTCTGTTTTTACAATAAACTATTACGGTGACTTCTGCAGCAGGAACAGTGACATGACATCCGCAAGGAAGTAAAGTTAATTATGAAGGTCACAGAGGCATGGTTGTATAAAGATGACTGTTAGGTTTTAATCATACCCTTTTTCTGGGATTGATTTTGTTGGTTGCAAATTCTTCTCAATAAGCAGGTTGCTCATTTTACGTTCCTTACTCAGCTTCATCTTAGGGCAATACAGCTTAATGCCCAGTTCTTGTGTGGCTGGTGTTCCCCAGGCCAGCCTAATGTAGCACAAAGAGGAATTGTTAAAAGACAAATCAAAGCACTATTCATGAAGATTTATGGCACATTAATAAAACAGATGTTTGGATTTCAGGTGGCAGTCTGATGTGTGTCTGACTGACTGACTGACTGACTGACTGACTATCTATCTTTCTATCTATCTATCTATCTATCTATCTATCTATCTATCTATCTATCTATCTATCTATCTATCTATCGCTGGACATAGGCCCCATAAGTGAAAGATGCTTCTATGTAAACAAGAGTTGGATCAGACATTGTGACTTTTCTGCCTAATAAGGTAATTGTACACAACAGTACCTCATTTTTAATTCTGATCAAAATTATGTCTCAACAAAAATCCTTCGGTCAAGGTAACATTTTCAATAAATGACCTCCAATGTGACAGTTATGCCTCTGTATATCAGTTGTTTGGGAGCATTAAGGGGACAGTGCAGTTGCAGTCAGATTCTGCTGATAGGTTTCCCATGTACAACTGGTTGGCAACTGTGTGTACACAGTATTTGACTAAGTAGGACTTTGGTCTTGATCCAAAACATAGTTCTTCTTAGACTCTTACAAGTTTTGATGCATAATAAGCAGAGAGGTGATAGAACGGATAGTCTTGTTGGGCTTCAAAATTCAGGAATAAAAAATAAATCCAATACAGTCCAATACGCAATAACATAGGAAAAGGTAAGGTAGAATTAACAAAGCAAATTAATAAACGAAAGAGGAAAGTAATTTCGCATGGTATTATACTTTTTTGTGAGGAATATATTATTTATGAACATGCCCCTTTTACAATGAATAAAAGGCCCTTTGCTATACCGGGGAAAGAATATCCTGCGAACCGAAGGTCAGTTTTTAGTGATTCTAGAACAGTGGTTCTCAACCTGGGGTCCCCAGATGTTTTTGGCCTTCAACTCCCAGAAATCCTAACAGCTGGTAAACTGGCTGGGATTTCTGGGAGTTGTAGGCCAAAAACATCTGGGGACCCCAGGTTGAGAACCACTGTTCTAGAAGGACAGTTATACAATTCGTGTAAACAAGAAAGACAGAATTAGTCTATCTTCAAGACATTAGGAGGTGAAGTAGGCCAAATAAAACAGTTGATATTGCCAAAGACTGGTAAAGATAAAGCTCTAAACTGAAGTTTGAAAAAAAAAATGAAGAGGGGAAACAATCTAGTTGGTATCCTTCATCTTCACTGTATTTGATACAACTACGATCTCTAGTCTTCCATACCAATAATAATATAAATGAGTATAACTAGAGTATCTGATATGGTCCCTTATTAATTTCAGGGAAAATGAAATTTCATTTGCATGAATAACTTGAGAGTGTTTTAAAGCATAGTAGAACAAATACAATTTTTTACAATTAGGTAAAAAATATGTTTCATTTACCTGTATGGAAAATCTCTAGGGAGTTTAATTATAGTTTCCTCCATCACAGTATAAGGATGGCTGCGATTTTGTTTGTCGGGCGTCATCCAGGAAAACAAAGTTTCAGGAAGGCTTTCAGAAGGTTGCAGATATTGATCTAGTTAACCAAGGACCAAGAATGAACTCTTAAGGTATTTATTTTAATGTATTTACTGTATTTATATCTCGCCCTTCTCACCTTGAAGAGGACTCAGAGCAGCCTTACAATAGGCAAAAACTAGATGCCATAAAAACATAGAACAGACATATAATAAAATAAACAGATACATTAAAACATAAGATTAAAAAGTTTTAAATGTTTTTATGATGTTGGCATTAAATGTATATAAATGTAGCAAATAAATAATAATAAATAAAAAGCATAAAAACATTAAAACCAATTATTAGCAAGAACCACATAATCTGAAATCAAAGTCAAGAGCCGTTCTAGTTCATGATTGCACATATTCTATCACCACTTATTGCACTGCATTACTATCCAAAGGCTTGGTCCCACAGCCCACGTCTTCAGTTTATTTCTGAAGGTTAGAGGTGAGGGAGCTAATCTAATGTTGCTGGGGAGGAAGTTCCATAGCAGAGGGGCCACCACTGAGAAATCCCACCACTGAGAAGGCCCTGTCCTTCATCCCCACCAACCACACCTGTGAAGGAGGTGGGACCGAGAGCAGGGCCTCCCCAGAAGATCTTAACTTCCAATATGGTTCATAGAGGAAGATTCATTCGGACAGATAAGCTGGGTTGATATTGTTATCTAAATTCTTAAGGAAACATCAGTAGGAGCAGAATCCTTATAATGGAATGTTTTTGCTCCATAAGACTTGGTGGCATCTATCGTGGTATCTTTTTAGTTCTAGATGAGGGCCTTTTTATTTTTGAAGTCTTTTCACATTTGTATATTATTAGTTATACTTAAATCTGCTCTTCATTTTATTGTGTGTGTTTTTATTATATTTACTGATTTTGTGGATTCATTTTATTGCTATGGCTTTTTTCTCTCAGCAGCATTTGAAACTGAACTTGTGAGGACAGTCATATACAGTTGGATCTTTGTATCCACAGATTCCTTATCTATGGGTTCAATATATTTTTAAAAAATTCAAAACCCAACCTTGATTTTGTCATTTTTAGATGAGCAATGTCTCATTTATTATGTCATTGTATATTATGGGACTTCAACATCCATAAATGTTGGCATCCACAAGAGGTCCTGGAACTAAACTGTGGCAGATACCCAAGGGCTCAGTGTAATCCCATTTATGCCCTATTATTATTTGAGGTCTGCATTACTCAATCAGCCTTTGCAATTTGGAATGATTTGAGCAATGTTTGATTAGGAAAGGGGGAAATTTTGTTTAAGTCAATGAATTTAAATTCATGACGATTCAAACTCAATTCACTGTGTTATCTGACATGCAAATAAGCCTAAAGTTAGGGGTTCGGACTAAGCAATGGTGGCCTGAAATGGGTGAAAATTGATCTTTCCTAGTCCCAAGTTTCCTGACTCCAGCAAAGGATCACCGCCTTGTCGGGGCGCTGGAGCTTGAGCACCTCAATGATGTCATGAGCGAAACCGTGAAGGGCCACCCAAGACGGGACGGTTGTGGCAGAGAGGTCAGACCAAGCGTGATCCCTGGGGAAGGCAATGGCAAACCACTCCAGTATCCTTGCCAAGAAAACTAAATGGACCAGTACAACCAGAGATATGTCGGTATGCCATTGGAAGATGGAACTCCCAGGTCGGAAGATGGCCAAAATGCTACTGGGGAGGAGCAGAGGATAAGTTCAACTAGCCCCAGATGTGATGACGCAGCTAGCTCAAAGCCAAAAGGAAGGCTAGCGGCCGACGGTACTGGAGGTGAACGACGAATCCGATGCTTTAAAGATCAACACACCATAGGAACCTGGAATGTAAGATCTATGAGCCAGGGCAAATTGGATGTTGTTATTGGTGAGATGTCAAGACTAAAGATAGACATTCTGGGGGTCAGCGAACTGAAGTGGACTGGAATGGGCCACTTCACATCAGATGACCACCAGATCTACTACTGCGGACAAGAGGAATCGAAGAAATGGAGTAGCCTTCATAATTAATAAGAAATGCGCTAAAGCGGTGCTTGGATACAACCCAAAAAATGACAGAATGATCTCAATTCGAGTGCAAGGAAAGCCTTTCAACATTACAGTGATCCAAATATACGCCCCAACCACAGCTGCTGAAGAAGCAGAAGTAGATCAGTTCTATGAGGATCTGCAGGACCTACTGGATAATACATCAAAAAGAGACATTATTTTCATTACAGGAGACTGGAATGCCAAGGTGGGAAGTCAAATGACAACTGGGATCACAGGCAAGCATGGTCTGGGAGAACAAAATGAAGCGGGACGCAGGCTGATAGAATTTTGCCAGGAAAACTCGCTGTGTATAACAAATACTCTCTTCCAACAACCTAAAAGACGGCTTTATACATGGACCTCACCAGATGGTCAACACCGAAATCAGATTGACTACATCCTTTGCAGCCAAAGGTGGCGGACATCCATCCAGTCGGTGAAAACAAGACCTGGGGCTGACTGTAGCTCAGATCACGAACTTTATTGCCCAATTTAGAATAAAACTAAAGAGATCAGGGAAAATACACAGACCAGTTAGATATGATCTCACTAACATTCCTAGCGAATATACAGTGGAAGTGAAGAACAGATTTGAAGGACTAGATTTAGTCAACAGAGTCCCAGAAGAACTATGGACAGAAGTCCGAGACATTGTTCAGGAGGCGGCAACAAAGTACGTCCCAAAGAAAAAGAAACCAAGAAGGCAAAATGGTTGTCTGCTGAGACACTGGAAGTAGCCCAAGAAAGGAGGAAAGCAAAAGGAAACTGGGATAAGGGGAGATATGCCCAGTTAAATGCGCAATTCCAGAGGTTAGCCAGAAGAGATAAGGAACTATTTTTAAATAAGCAATGCATGGAAGCTGAAGAAGACAACAGAATAGGAAGGACAAGAGACCTCTTCCAGAAAATTAGAAACATTGGAGGTAAATTTCAGGCAAAAATTGGTATGATAAGAAACAAAGATGGCAGGGACCTAACAGAAGCTGAAGAGATCAAGAGAAGGTGGCGAGACTATACAGAAGATCTGTATAGGAAGGATAATAATATCGAGGATAGCTTTGACGGTGTGGTGAATGAATTAGAACCAGACATCCTGAGGAGTGAGGTTGAATGGGCCTTAAGAAGCATTGCTAACAACAAGGCAGCAGGAGATGATGGCATCCCAGCTGAACTGTTTAAAATCTTAAAAGATGATGCTGTCAAGGTGATGCATGCCATTTGCCAGCAAATATGGAAAACACAAGAATGGCCATCAGACTGGGAAAAATCAACTTATATCCCCATACCAAAAAAGGGAAATGCGAAAGACTGCTCAAACTTCCGTACAGTGGCCCTTATTTCATGCCAGTAAGGTAATGCTCAAGATCCTGCAAGGAAGACTCCAGCAATACATGGAGCGAGAGTTGCCAGATGTTCAAGCTGGGTTTAGAAAAGGCAGAGGAACGAGAGACCAGATTGCCAATATCAGCTGGATAATGGAGAAAGGCAGGGAGTTTCAGAAAAACATCTATTTCTGTTTCATTGACTATTCTAAAGCCTTTGACTGTGTGGATCATAATAAATTGTGGCAAGTTCTTGGTGGGATGGGCATACCAAGCCACCTTGTCTCTCTCCTGAGGAATCTGTACAAGGACCAAGTAGCAACAGTCAGAGAACTGACCACGGAACAACAGACTGGTTCAAGATTGGGAAAGGCGTACGGCAAGGCTGCATACTCTCACCCAACCTTTTAACTTGTATGCAGAACACATCATGCGATGTGCGGGGCTGGATGAATGCAAAGCTGGGGTGAAAATTGCTGGAAGAAACATTAACAACCTCAGATATGCAGATGACACCACTCTGATGGCCGAAAGCGAGGAGGAGCTGAGGAGCCTTCTAATCAAGGTGAAAGAAGAAAGCGCAAAAGCCGGGTTGCAGCTAAACATCAAAAAACCAAGATTATGGCAACAAGAATGATTGACAACTGGAAAATAGAGGGAGAAAATGGAGGCCGTGACAGACTTTGTATTTCTAGGTGCAAAGATTACTGCAGATGCAGACTGTAGCCAGGAAATCAGAAGACGCTTACTTCTTGGGAGGAGAGCAATGTCCAGTCTCGATAAAATAGTGAAGAGACATCAGACTGGCAACAAAGATCCGCCTAGTCAAAGCCATGGTATTCCCTGTAGTAACCTACGGATGTGAGAGCTGGACCTTAGGGAAGGCTGAGCGAAGGAAGATCGAAGCTTTTGAGCTGTGGTGTTGGAGGAAAGTTCTGAGAGTGCCTTGGATTGCGAGAAGATCCAACCAGTCCATCCTCCAGGAAATAAAGCCCGACTGCTCACTGGAGGGAAAGATACTAGAGACAAAGTTGAAGTACTTTGGCCACATCATGAGGAGACAGGAAAGCCTAGAGAAGACAATTCTGCTGGGGAAAGTGGAAGGCAAAAGGAAGAGGGGCCGACCAAGGGCAAGATGGATGGATGGCATCCTTGAAGTGACTGGACTGACCTTGAGAGAGCTGGGGGTGGTAACGGCCGACAGGGAGCTCTGGCGTGGGCTGGTCCATGAGGTCACGAAGAGTCGGAGACGACTGAACGAATGAACAACAACAACAAGTTTCCTGAAGAAAAGATCTGCCATGAGAAAACAGACAGATTTGCAGACATATAACAGTATTGTTTTAATAGAAGATATAAACTGTGCTTCTGTGTGCTATCCAAAGCAATCTAAAAGAATTGTGATTATTACACTTTGTGCTTCTGAACAAATACTTGTCACTCTGTCACAAGTGTACTTGAATAGAAGCTACTTGTTAAGTCATTTAAAAAACATGGCCTATTTAACTTGAGTTACATGACGTGCTCCCAAAACTCGATTTGTCAGTATGGACACCTGGTCTCAATGTAAATATGACTGTAGTTATCTAAGGGAACTTACTTCTTCAGGTCTACGTATAATTTAAATTTGCTTTCTTTCCTTTGCATGCAACATTTTGCATGGATCTGTAGCCTGGGTAGGACACCAGTGTGCTAACACAGAATAAGCAATAGTTAAGGGCAACATTACAAGTAGGTGCCAGGTGTATGCAGTGCTCCATGGGTAAGGTGCCCGCTAGGCATCTTATTCAAAATGAACATGTTGGTACAGAGTATGAGATCATGGATAAGAATGAGCTTGTCTTCAGGTAAAAAAAATATATTGGTGATAAACATTATGACTGCTTATAGCCTTGAGGAGAGAAAGCTTTTTTACTTCTGTGATGCAAACTGACCTGGATTTTTCAGACATGTTATGAAGGCATGTCTTAAATATGAATAGCCTGTTGTTTTGCTCATTTTAAAATCCACGTTGTAGCTTGACTTTATGAATTATCACTCAACTTAAGTGTTGCTTGCATTCCATCTGTTCACATGAGCAATCAGTATATACAGGTAAAACTTTAAAAACAAAATAGTTTACACATCTCTTTCATGACAGAATTTTGTAGTTGGCCCTCCATATCCATAGATTGTGCACCCACAGATTCAAGGGGAAATTGCCAAAGTACACACTTTTAGGCATATCCTTCTGTAGCTGGCTATCATTTCACAGATCCTCTGCTCTCTCTCCATTTTACTACATTATTGTATAATGAGATTTCAGCTTCCAAGGATTTGGGTATCAACAGTACCGGTAAATCCTGGAGCCTAACCCCAACTGAAAATCCAATATATTGCTATATAATGGAAAATAATTATTTTTATTTTTAAAATACTATAATACTGACTTTGCTTATATCGTTTGCCTATTGTGGCATGGAAAACATGCGTAACTGGCTCATTGTGATTGTGATTTATCTCTCACTGTATTTTGTACTGTTTTATTGTATTCTTATGTTTTATTTATTTTATTGCAATGTTTGTTTTGTGTTTTTGGTTTTATTCTGTTGTAATGCACTACTGGGCTTGGCCTCATGAAAGCTGCCCCACGTCCCCTTTGGGGAGATGGTGGCAGGGTATAAATAAAGATGATGATGATGATTATTATTATTATTATTTGCCACTACAACGCATTTCAGCTGTCATCAATGTCCCCTTTTCACGACCATACAATGGTAGGAACATTCCTAATGTTAATATTCAATTACACACCTCGAGACTTCAGGATTTTGTTAAAGTTCCTTCACAGCAGCCCTTCCAAGTCCTAATCTTTTTCTGATTTCTTGACTGCAGTCTACATTCCGATTAATGACTGAGCCAAGATATGGAAAACTTTGAACAATTTCAATGTATTCATAATGTACTTCAAAGTTATTGAAATCAATTGTTGCCATTATTTTTGTTTTCTTAATGTTCAGCTGTAAACATGCCTTCACATTTTCTTCCTTGCCTTTCTTCAGTAATCGTTCCAAGTCTTTGCTATTTTCTGCTAGTACAGTGGTATCAATTATATCTTAAATTGTTGGTAAAATTTTTAGCATCACTTTGTTGACAGTTTAGACATAGAGAAATTGGAACTGGTTTAAACAAGAGCAAAAAAGATGACATGGAAAACAACGCATATGAGGAAAGGGTGAGGGAGCTGATCATGTTCAAGTTGGTGAAGTGAAGGCTAAGGGATGACATGATGGCACTCTTTAATTACTTGAAGGGCTTTTACAGAGGTGAGAGGTTACGTTTTCCATCTATTATATCCGAGGGCAGAACTAGATCTAATACTTTTAAGAAACAGAAGGAGCAGAGATCCCACTCAGAATGTTTCACAGTGGAGTTCCATTCTCTCCTTGATTTCCAGTTCATCAGAAATAGAGAATACTGTGACCAGAGAAAGAGGGGGTGTAAGGCAGATTGTGTGAGGGCACAGATGAACACCCAACCAACCAGTGACATGTAAGCAACCTGATTTTCACTGTTCCTCACATAATGGGTAACTGCAAAGCTTATTGTGAGAAAAGGGAATGGTTACAGAAACAAAGATTGTAATACCTTATGGCTTTGCATTGACTGTAGCCCTAAGGTCATCATCATCATTAATTTTCTTACCCCCGCCCCCCCTTACAGCAGAGTTCAACACAGTTATAACACATTACTGTAAAATAGATACCATAAAATACCTATATTAAAACACATTGCACGCACACACACATATACATATGCAGCCCAAAGATTAAAACACAATATTAATAGAATATAAAAGTTTAAAATTCATAGTTTAAATTTGATTGGGTTTAAGCAAAGAAATACCAACAAAAAAGTAAGAGAAGGATAAAAAATAAGCCAAGAGAAAGAAGACAAATCTCAAGATCTTAGCTATGAAGACGGAATTAGCAAAAACTAAAACTGTGAAGCTGCTTTGACAACAGACAAAAAAACAAAGCTTGGAGGGCTTAAATATATGTGGTATAGGATGAGAAAGGGGTTTCCTACAAAAGTTACTCACCTCAGGACTTTCTGAATAGGATCTCTATGCAGGGGCAGAGCCTACTGTGTGGAGCAAAGGGATTACATCGAAGAAGGTGGGTTTTGCTCAAACTGTTATACTATGCTGGGCTTAATTCACTGGTCATTTCTGATACCCAATGCTTAACATTTGAGAAAAATATGATAAGAAAATCAATGGCATTACATTGTTGTGAGTTGGTAGGTGTGAAACAACGGTTCTTTGAGCACGGCCTTTTGTTAAGCTCTAGCAGTATGCGTCGCTCCTCTGCTTGCCAGATTCGTTCGTTTTGCCTCTTTTTCCAAGTCACCGCTCTATAAAAAGGACAACATGAAATGTTGGTATGAATTTAATTGGCAGTTTTCAAAGTGGTATTAATGCCTAGTTTTGTGACTGCAGTTCTACAGGCGAACCAGAAGAGTATAGATTAATATCTGTAGAGATTATTTTTTAGCTCGACAGTTTGTTATTTTGCAAAACCAAGTCTTTTGACTGGACAGCCTTCAACAAGTGGAACCCTGTGATGTTCAGAACAGTAGCTGAACTAGTGTTAATTACTGCTAAACTTTAAAATGCAAGAGTGCTTCAGTTATTATTTCATCTGTTGATATTTCTAGGCTGTTGGATTATGATATATTTTCATGCATAAGTCAAGGGAACATTTGGAGGATATAATAATGGACTCGTGGTTAAGTAGAGGGTCATTCTGTGAAGATAGGAAAGCACCAATGCTGTCTCAGGAGGCCAGCTGCCACCACTTTCCTCCCTAGGTGTTCAAAAGGACCAGAAGCGGCACTATGATAACGAGGATAGAGGCTATCAGTGCATTTTTCCTTGCCTTTAAACACTACTCAGGTTATTTTTGCTAAGAATTAAGGTACATTACCCACAGTAATCTATGGATTAGTCAGCCCAGGTTTTTTGGGTTGATTTATTGACTTAAACATCTAGGCTTCAACATTATATCGGGTAGGTAGGTTTCAGTTGGATATCGTGTTTTCTGCTTCTTAATTAGTATTTAGTATTATAGAGGGCTGAGATCCTGTGGAGTTCTGCTAATGCAGAGGTCCATGTGCCCAAGAGGGAGGATAAAGGTAACTGTTCTGGTGGCAGTATGAAGGAACTTTCCCAGAACCACCACATAGTCAATCAGTAGTCATTGGGACAGGATGATCATTTTAAGAACTGCCTACTGAGCATAGCTGAAACGAATATTCTGTAAGGGAGTACCAAATGCATGGGGAAAAGGGATCCACATGGATTTGAAACATGCTTCATAGGCATTAGAATAGCTGCATGGAATTGAACTATGCTATGTGAAGAGATGTTGCATCGGGCAGAAATTCACTCCTGAAAAATAGACATGTACTTTTGTATGCTTAACAGGAAATTAACTCCATCAGTAATAATTATATCTGGTGTCACTCACTTTGTCCTTGATCCTGTGTCTTTTGCCCTATCCACTGCAAGATTATGTCCCCAAGTTCTTTTCCCATAATTTAAATAGAATCACACTGACTATACCTTCAAACAGAAAAGCAGGTTACAAAATTTAAAATTAACTACCTTATAATATCTTTTTCACGAGACAGTTCATAATGTTCCTTTTCCTCTTGCTTGGTCTTCTTTCTTGAAGGGGGTCTATGAATTTTAAAAAATCTGATTTTAACTAAATTCAGTGTTTTATGTAATAACAAAAATAACTGACATCTGAAGGATTTCTATTCATGTAGTGGTTTTATAGTAACAACCTAAAATATTATGCACTTTGTCACTCAACTTTTTTGGAATAACATTCTCTTGATTAAAGATTATACAACAACAACAACAACAACAACAACAACAACAACAACAACAATAATAATAATAATAATAATAATAATAAAGCAGCAACAACATCTATATCTATAGGGACTTTGTAGATAGCCCCTTTTTTCTAAAGATTTTCAAAACTACTCAGTGTGTCTAGAAAATGTCCAAGGACATCTTCCAGTAAATCTCAAGGTACACAGACTTTAGCAACACCAATTTCACCCATATTTGTATCATGTATCAGTGAAGGGTCCCATTTTCAGCAGCACCGATGTAATAGTTGAAAGCAAAACACATGGGAAAAAATGAGGATATTCGTCACACTGTATATATAGCAGGCCAATTTCCAACAAATTGCAGTGAGACTGGCCACTGGCCCACAAATGTAGGAGAGGAAAGACAAAGATAATAAAAAGTGTAGATATCAGTTTGAAAAAATCATATACGTAGTATTGTCCCTTTATCTGCAAGGGATATGTCCCTGAACTTATTTTGGAAACAGAAGATTGTGGATAATATGACACTCTATAGAAATTAATGATTTCCACCACATGCTGTTGTTGTTTTGCTATATTTGTTTATATCCCACCCCCGTCCCCCCAGGATTGGGATCCAAAGCAGCTAACAATTTAAAAAACAATATAGTTAAAAACAAAAGGTACTGCATCTAGGATTAACTAGGTTTTCCAGGGTGACATACCTTTTTTCATAAGGTAAGAAATCCTAAAAGGGAGGGAAACACTTCATGAATGAAAGATTGTAAAACAATAAGTATGCTTACTGCTTGTTTACATGAAGAAAGTAGGTGTTCATTACTTATACTGAAAACTTTCTGAGAAATTATTTTCTGCTCCTTAGAAAAGATTACAATAGGTCTTCAAAAAATCTCCACACTTTTATATTTTAGTTGGAAAGGGTGAGGGTGGAAGAAGTAATAATTGGTCATGTCTAAGAGTGTCCTGTGACTAGTTTGTTGGGCAAACTATCTGACCTTGCAGTTTAGAACAAAAGTTATCATGCTTTGGTGAATATAGCTGCAAAACTTATGAATTGCTCCTAAGAACAGTGTTGTGTCATATGCTTTTGTGGGCAGAAGGTGTGCCGGGAACACAAATTCATCTCCACATGTGCACTCAATATGAGGATAAAATTCTATCTTGTAGAGTCATCTATGAGTGGTTTGAAATGTTCAAAAATTGTCATACTAGTAAAGGTCAACACTCAAAACCAGAGGAATTCCAGACAAGAAACAATCAGGGCCAGCTAATCCCCTCCCAACAAAGAATTCCCCCAGGCAGCAAGAAGGCACACCTTGAAACTGCTAGGCCATTAAATGCTAACTAAGGTGGCCAATTGAAACATTCACACCTATCTCGAACAAACAAGAATTCTTTCTCCCACCCTGGAAATTCCAGATATATAAACCCCATTTTCCTAGTTTCCAACAGACCTCACAACATCTGAGAATGCCTGCCATAGATGCAGGTGAAACAACAGGAAAGAATGCTTCTGGAACATGGCCATACAGCCCGGAAAACTCACAACAACCCATTGTATCCAAGACTCTTTGAAATGTATCATCAATTCTATTTTGAATATGAAGGCAAAAACATAAATATATCATACCTTAGTTCCAAGAGGAGGGCATATTTTTTGACCTGGTGTAGAAAAAAGGGGGCGGGACAAGAAATAAAATTATATATACTTTATTGTCTTAAGCTATATCTAAATAAACATCTGGTTCAAGAATTTCATTAGTTATCTAGTTTTCTTCAGCTAGATAATGCCTTTTTTTGAAGCCCCTTTGACTTTAGAGGAAATGCGATTGTGGGGAAGGTGGGCATGCCTAAGGTTTATTTTGTGTTGTTTCTTTATTACACAAGAAAATATTTTAATATTTCTGAGATTAATGTTATTTTAATATGCTGCACATAAATAGATTTAAAAAGCTCATATGGACTCTATCTGAAAAAGAAACCAGATAATATTTAATAAAAAGAACCCACGTGGAATCATATATTTTCTTGAGGCCAATTGTGACATTAAATCGCAAAGAGTTTACAAAATTATGAGGAATTGATATCATACATCTTCAAGTTTTAACAAGAAAATATCAAGCAATAATTTGTGATAACTGTTAATGTTGTAGCAAACATAAGACTGATTTACATAAAATTGCATATCTAATTTTGCTCAGTGGAGTCTGAGTATTCTAAAATAGTATGGGGCGAGGTGATATATGTTTCTGTAGTGAATAGTGTCATATTACAATGACAATCTGGATCTGTATAAATTATTTTTACTCTACAAACAAGCAATGAGAGCATTAATAGCACCTGTTAATATAGCATATAGCTAGTGAAATGACTGAGCAATCCCTACAATTCTAAAGGAGCTGAAAATGATTCAATTGCACAGTAACAATTAATAGGCAAACAAACACAAGAAAGTAAACAAAAAAGAATGTATATTTATGGGTTTATTTTTGAACATTTTCCTTCCTTTTTCCAAAATTCTCCTTGCCAGAAATCAAATGGAAGAGAATGTATTACAGAAGTGCAGAATAATAAGGCATCAGAAGTGAGAGATTCAACTTAATAACTATAAATCCCAGTACACAGGCACAGTAATTCTCTTTTTAGACTATAGTAGAAATTCTTTGTTTCCACACAATACTGAAAACCTAAATCCATCCATTGACAATAGCGACTTGTGGCCCTCCATATGGTGCTGGATTCAAACCCCTACCGCACAATATTAGGTGAGGAATGATAGGAGTTTCAGTACAACAGCATGAAGATGGCCACACATTGTCTACTCCTTGGGCTGTATCTTCACATTTCTGTAGTTCACTTCCAGCTCCATCTGTACAATTACTAGCTGTTTAGAATACCAGTTATCAAAATTATATTCCACATGATCTCTTGGATTTCGTTCATAAGGAAATCTTGTCACTACAGATTTTATATATCTTTATAAGATTCATCCAAACACCACAATGGTAAAGGCATCTGAAGAAAAGTATTCAGCTCACAAAACAAATTGGCTTCATGATACAATACTACAAAAACATATATTCTATTTTTTAAATCACAAAATAAAGTATTCTTGGTAAAATTACCAAGAGATAATCTTCAATTATAATTAATATTGAAAACTTGGTCTGTCAAAATGCTAAATGAATTTGCAATGGTCACAAAATGATAGCATGGTTTTAGACCCATCATTTTAGAAAAGGAATAAATTAAAATCCATCATGGCACTACCTTTCCATAGTAGTGGGATTGTGTTTTGGCGAGACAAGAGGCTATGCTACTAGTAGCAGGACTGCTGATGGAGTTTCCCACATCAGACAGGCATTTGCTGAGGAGCCAGATAAAATGTGCCAAAAAACCACTGGGAAGCATCAGTGGTAGAGGATGACATTGGTAGATGTCTCAGAGACAATGGCAGTGGTATCATAGCTAATACTTTTTAGTACTGTACTACTTCTAAACTCTTTACCTAAAAGCCTACCATGAAACAATCTAGAATGAAACAAGAAATAGAGCCTGAAGATGACACTTCCAACTCAGTTGAGTGATACACATCTAAGGAATGTATGAAGTGTCCTTTAAGGGATATTTACTTTTGAAATAATGTATACTGAAATAAGACTTGTATGACGCAAAAGTTTGTTAATTGTAGGGATGTTTTAAATTTAAAAAAAAATTTAAGAGTAAAAAAAGGAATATCTTGTTTGTAAAAAAAAAGAAACTCAGAAGGCACCTGGTGAAGAATAGAGGACTAATAAGAGGCGCAGTGTGGCTAATAATGCAACCGGACTCAAGCCAAAAGAATGGTCAGCCATTGACATGATCAGAGGTGAAAGGAAAGTCTGAAGCTGCACAATACATAGTACAGAACATGGAATATGAGACACATCAATCACGGAAAGTTAGACATTGCAAAACAAGAAATGAATAGTGTAAATATTGTGATACTTCTTCTAAAACCAAAAGAGGACTGATTTGAAATATGATGCTGGAGGATTGAAGTCCATGGTATTGCAGATATAATGGACTGCCAAAACAAGGCTAATAAGTGGCAGGACTGCTGATGGAGTGGCAGGACTGCTGATGGAGCCAAATAAAGCCTAAATTCTCCCTATATGTGAAGGTGACTAAACTCATATTGTTGGACTTTGACTCACTAGAAATAAAATGTCTGGTAAGATAGAAAGGATGGCTACATCCCTCAATTAAGGAAGCTATTGCCCTGACTCTGCTGGACCTGAGCAGAGTTGTTGATGGCAGGAGACCTGGAGGTTGGTCATTCATAGGGTCACCATAAGTCAAAGTAGAATTGACAGTGGTCAACAACAACAAATTTAAAACTTTATCTTGGTTTGAAGTACACTTGATTTGATTTACCTGCTCAGCTTAAGGAGGATGTTATCATGATGGTGGAGACAAGCCTCTGTTTAAATAATTTCATATCATTAAACATGATGCACTTTATGTTACATCACAATGGCAAACTTGGTGTCATTACAGTGTGATATTAATGTATGTTATTATCTCCCTTTTGCTTCCAAGAGGAAGGATGGGGTACACATGTTTTAAAAGGGACAAGCAGAAAGAATAATAATAATAAGCCATCCATTATCTGGAGGTTATAGAATAGGGTGATAGTACATATTTCACCCTTTACTGAATGCTCAATTTAATAGGGGAAGGGTAGAAGAAGAAACTGAAGTATTTAATGCACAAACTAGACGTGAATGGGGTTCTTTAGAGATAAAAATGTTCTTTTCAAAATTTTTGTCCTCAAAAAGAAATTTTATGTTGAGGTACACAGTTCAGGTAACTGTTCAAGCTCAAATTGGAAAAAGCAGTAGTATTATTAAGGAATGCAAAAATATTCTCAAATGTTCTTGCTTTCTAAGGGAGAAAAGGGTATTGAGAAAAAAATGTCAAGTGCCAAAAGATTTTTTTTGTTAATATTTAACAAAACAGTCCAAAATGTATAAAATATTGAAAAATAAATAAAAGCTTGAGTAATTTTGTCCAACAGGTAGAAAATATGCTGTAATTTTGTTCTTTCATACAATAAGAATGTGAGTGAAGATTTAAACCTAGTGTTGCTAGACCTTGTTCTGAAAATATATCTTCATGTGCAGTTTCTCAAAGACCATTCCATATTTTGGAAAAAGAGAGAAGAGAAATAGCAAAAATGTGACTAATGTAACTAATAAATGCAGGTTCTGACCAAGAAAAGTGAATTTAAGTCATATTGGTAAGATAGCCTAAAACATGGTTATCTAATCTTTTGGCTACCTTTGGCCACACTGGAAGAACAAGAATTGTCTTGGGCCACATATAAAATACAGTAACATTAACAATAGCAGATGGGAAAATACAAACAAAAAAACCATGCATAATTTTCATGATATCTGCCACACACACATATAAGCAAAAAATGCCCTCACATAGTAATCCTGTTCAGAGGGTCTTTTAAATTTGTTTAGCAGATCTTCTGGCTGTACTACTGGCAATTGTAATGTGAATTATAGATAATGCTCCTACATTTATGGATGTAACATACTCGATTGTTCCATTCCATTCTCATTTACATCTGTTATGCCACATACCTGCAGTGTGACAGCACACATCTGAGCCACAGCAAACAAGGAGAACTAGCAAAATTATTTCTGTCCATGTTAGTTATCTGTCTCACATATATTCTCCTTTCACTGCACAACCATATATTTTTCTCTCCTTTCCCCATTTCCTTGACATCCCACCTGATAAAATGTCTGATAAAATTGTCATGATGAACTCACTTCACTATTCTAATGACTTTTAGTAGATGCCAATAAAGGTAGTAGAAGCTGAAATGGTGCAGTGTTTTGAGTTTTGGACTAGGATTTGAATCTCCATTCAGGCATGGAAAACCATTGGGTGCTTTTGAGCAAGTCCCATTGTAATCTGCCCTGAGTCCCCTGAAGAGTGAGAAGGGTGGGATATAAATAAATAAATTAGAGAAAAGCAATTACAAACCTCTCAATGACTATGACAGCATCACCATTAGTGAGAGTTGACTTGAAGATATATAACAGTAAATGTAGCATCCTATAGTTACTTTTTTAATAGTCCCAGATTCTTAGAATAAGTTTTTAAATTCTACAGAGAAAACAATGTCTTGGGGAAGAGAGGAGCATTACATTTAACAGTATTCAAAAGTAGCATTTTCATATAATTCTCTTTTCCAAGACAGTGCAGCCTGTGCTCCACCTACTGGTTAATTAAAGTAACTATACAGCAAATATTTTTTTCTACGCCTGAAAGAACTGATGTAAATACATCATGTAATGTAATTATATTAATTGATAGATTCCATTCCATAGAGGCAGCATCCCCACAGTTCTAGATTGCAACACAGTCATGCAGTGCTCCTAAAGACAATCACTACTGGTTCCTTTACAGGGGGAATGGCCAGCATCTGCAGTGGATAGACCAGTGGCATGCAGCCTGCTGCCTCTCCTAATCAACAGGCATATTCTGATTGATGGAAGTGCTTGCCAAATACACTTAAATCCAATACATGCCTAAAAGTAGCCATCATTACCTATACATAGAGCCCAGGGTAGGTGGTGAAAAGAACCAAGGTATTGTATTGCATGATTTGCCTAAACTATAGATATGGCTATCCTTAAAATATACAAGATAATGAAGAAATTATCTTCATTTCCTACTAATGACAGTTATTTTATTCATCTTATTATTTTTGAGATAAATCTACATATGTCCTGCTACCGCCTTTTTCCTTGAAGAAAAGTTCATCTAATGTCAGAAAACCCAATCTTACCAATAGAAATAACTGACTGGGATGGTCGAGTGTAGGGAACATATTTGACATCTCTTGACCTCATGGCACTCTAGACAAAAGAAAAAGGAAGTTATTCTCCTGCAACAAACTTCACGCAACTCAAGCCACCAATGTAGTGGACACATCCTGTAGCCTTCAACCTATCCTCCAAACTACTCTGAGGGATGGGGGAATCTATGGAACAAATGTGGGGCATGGGGGATGCTGGAGAAAAGAGAGGAAGTGGGTATTAACTGTGTGATATCAAATGTAATCACTGAATGCAACCACTGAATGTATAATCCACCCCACATGCAAGTCTTTTTATTTCCTTTTAGGGATTATGTACTCGCAGTAGCATGTCTGAATCGGATCTCATTATACAGGCAGCCCCCGAGTTACAAACATGATAGGTTCTGTAGGTTTGTTCTTAAATTGAATTTTATGTAAGTCTAAACAGGTACACTTTTTAAGTGTAACTCTAGCTTTGGATAGCACACAGAAGGATTAACACCTCTGTTTTGGATTTGCTTTGGATAACGCAGAGGTTAACACCTCTGTGGTGTTTGTTTTGCTGTCTGTGCTCCTGTTCAGAAGATTTCATCTCACTTTCTATACCTGTGATAATTGGATTTTCAAAAATTTAGCTTGCTGTGAAAATAACGATTGGTGATAAAGCTTCAGTTGAAATACATTTTCTCCACAGAACTGCATTTCCCTTTCTAGAGGTAGATTTCTCTCACTTGTTGTCTCACCCCCATTCCTAACTATGAGTTTTTTGTAAGTCAGATGTTTGTAACTAGGGGACTGCCTGTATACCCCTTGTAGTCAGGATGTGGAAACTTTCCAAACCTGGATTTCAAACAAAAGTCAATTACAACACTTAGAACTCCAGTATCTGGAACAGAAATGTTCAAGACATTAGTTAGTTATATCAACCCTGTCCTGTAGCAATACTAGTTCTACAGCTTCAGCCTTACGTGCAGTGTAAAACTACCCATGGTATCTGCATTGTTCTTCAGTGTGCAGAACATATGTTTAAGGGTCCATAATGGCTTCTATCCCCAAACTGCAGCTTCTGCACCACCTTTTCTTGAGTTGATCTCAGTCAGATGTAATGTAGATCTAGGATTTTTCAGCTTTGGGTCCAAATTGCAATTAGGGGAAGTTGTCAGGGCTGCATCCCAGAGGTATAGGAGGCAGCATGAGTACAACAAACATAAAAAAGTATCATAGTCTGTACAGTCTGCTTAATTCTCTGTAAGTCTTGATTCAATAGTCTTGATTCCATGTGACAGTTTACAAAGAGTAGAGCAAGTAACATGCAATAACATTCAACATTCAAAATGCAATCCTTAAGATCTGGATACACAGTGATGAAACTAAACTGAGCCCTCATCTTAATAGGCTTTTTGACAAAGCCATCAAGCTAATCAAATATACCTAATATTTCAGAGTAACGCAATGGGAAACCACCTCTGCATGTTTCCATGTCTAAAACAATCCTATGAAATTCACAGGATTCCAATAAGTCAAAAGGTGGTTTGAAAGCATAAACATACAAACACAATGAAGCAGGATGAAAAATGCTTTCTGCCCTTACCCTGAATGTGTAAATTCTCAATTCATCGCACTACAATTTCGTTTAATCTCTATTTAAAAACATTTCAGGAGAGGTCCACCAGATTCTTCTTAACACCTGAGTTACCTTTGTCTGTATCTTATAGTCCATGTTTATACTATCTATGGAAGAAACATTTCTATAGAACTAGAAATGTCAGTGTCAAGGATAAACAAAAATGATTTATTTATTTCAAACATTTTTACACTGCCCTTCTCAACCCTTGAGGGGGGACTCAGGGTGGTTTACACTGGCAACAATTTGATGCCAATGCACAACACTCAACATTACTATTATTAATTTCAAGAAAGACATAGTAGTTTTGATATTTCTTCTGTTCAGATATTTTGGAGAAATATTCTACTTGATGACTGTCAATAGTATCAATTAATTTAGAGCAGGCATGTCCAAAGTCGGGCCTGGGGGCCAATTGCGGCCCATGTTCAAATTTCCAGTCACCTGCTACCTCTGTTAAAAAGTCAACAATATATGGCCCAGCAGTACTGTTGACCACAGTATAAAATACATACAAAAAGCTATTTTATATTTTACCAGAAGATGATCAAAACCACAGTTTTGAATATGCAGTCTTTTCAATCCATGTATCATTTGCTTTTTTGTTTTTCAAGTGACAATCAAATAAGGTCTTGTAAACCCGACAAATTAAATATTAAAATCAAATTTGGTCTAGTAACTCCTTTTTCCATTTGTATTTTTGATCTGAGTATAAAATTAAAATAATGAAAAAAATGGTCTTTTTGTTTTTTGATATCTGATTCAAAATCAAACAATTTTGTTTTTTACATTTTTGATGGTTAATTAAAAAAAGAAAAGAACATGTGATACACTGATTCATTTGGCCCTCAATGTTTTGTACTTCTGAATAAGATAACTGTTCATGTTATTTTCCTGTTCACGTGTTTGAATTTAGAAGTTAAGGCGAGCATTTAATAATGAATAAGACGTAATCTTTCAATTGAACCTAGATATGTTTCTTCAGACATATTTTTTTTCTTCATTTTATGTGGACTTCAAATAGGAAAGGCAGAGTGATGTTTGTAAAAACCTGTTTAGATTTATTTGTGTTCTGTGTGAAGAAATAAAAATTTGCAAAATTTCATAAAATGGTTCATTTGCATTAATGTTAATGGTTCAAAGAATGTCAGACTGACTGGAAAAACAGTTTTGTATAAAATTAATATATATAGACAAACTTCCTTTTACCTCTAGCCAAGCAAGGAGCAATTCAAATAAACTTGTAAAAATCCAGAGTATGATTTTGTTTAACAACGCAAAATGAGTACCTTTGGCGCTGGAAATTTCTTTGTACGTTTTGGTGTCTGCATTTTTTTCAAACCCAGTTTTTCTATTCTGTGGAGATTTTTCCGCATGCGCTCCGTGGCTACAGGTTTCTAAACATACCACACACACATGTTATATATTATATTGCATAATAATATGTATTTCAAATATATTGGAATTTCTCTCATCTCCTCAGGCAGCAAGGCCCCGTGCTTGTGCTCCTGTTTTGCCTCTTTCCAACTCTAACCGTTGAAATATGCTCTTCTTCTCTGGCTTCTAGATGGCAGGGAGGCCTCAATGGGATCAAAGGGTGGCAGTGGTGGCACCACTTCCCTTAGTGGTGGTGGCAGCCCTGGAGCAGCCCTGCCACATCGGGGAGCCCTTTTGCTCATTCTGCTAAGTGAGATCCAGAACTTCTGCCCCAAGTCCTGCTCTAATAGCACCATTGCTTGTAAGAAGTGCAATACTAAAAGTGAGTCAGGAATCAGTACACATCCCCACTGAAGCGCCTTCATAATATAGCCCTATTAAAGGGCAATGTGGCTCAATAACTGAGGAGAACATTATTTGGACAATATTATACATGGAGAATAAGAACAGATCACAGCCAGAAAACCATGGCTTTGGCCACAGGAGACAATCTGCAATAGCAGATAACATTCATACATCTTGTACCAATACCATTCTAAAGATCAACAAAAGCACTTCAGAATTCAACTGGTGTATTTTTGTTACTATTGGAAGTTAGTGTACTTAACCTCTCCAAATCTCTTTATCTAGGAATTAGTTGAACAAATATAAATAAACCTTTGACAACACCTTCATATCCTTAACTTTCAAGGGTGTGGCTTTTTCTTCAGGAGGAGAGCTCCATGTAGCAAACTAATAATTAAAATAGAGAACCAAAAACCATGCTCACATTATACAATGGGCTATATGGTAAAGTGCTCTACAAATCTCTGATCAGTAACCCCTGAAGTGTGCTGCTCTAACTGTGCAATGAATAGCAACCTATCCACCATAACAACGTTCTTAACTACCTCTTCATTGCAAAGTTAATATATGTACATTTAATTCTATGCCACAGTTGTGATACCTGACTTAAAAGTAATACAAAGGAGATAGAACAACCTTTCCAACCATTAAATCACCTGAATTGCAGTAAAGTGGACAAATATATAAATATGGAAATCCACAGGGCTTGCAGACCAATGTCTTCAGGATAGATCTCCCACCCACTAGTTTCCCATAATCCATGTAGAGTTAGCATTCATATAAAACCAGGCCTAGGCCTAAGTCCTTGATGAGAAGAACTAAGGATTCTACAATTGGTGTGCTACATCTGCTAAACAGGTATGTGCATAACCAGCTGTAGTTTTAGTATACCTATAGTTTGAAATGAAGATTTTGATGTCAGAAACACAACATGCATCTGTGCAGTCCACCTAATATTTTTTCAAAACAACTTTTGAATTCGACTGTTTCTCTCAAAATTGCTTTCACTGATGGATCCACAAAGTAAGAAATGATTTAAAATCAAAGTAAGTGCAGCATTTCTTATTTATTTACTTCCTGTGGGGACAAGGCAGCTAGCAACCACACAATTTGGTCACAGCTTAAAACGAAGTGAATAAAAACATTAAAAAAATTGAATAGCACTGTGGATTTAAGTTAAAATGCAATAAAAATTCATTTAAAACTCCCAATCCCCACCCCCATCTCAGAATTCCACCCATAACCTCCCTAGCTGTGTGCCTTTCATCCTCCCCTAAACGCCTGCAGGCACAGAAATGTCTTTAGCAGCTTGCAGAAAGCCAGCAGGGTTGGGGCCATCCTGGCCTCTCTTGGGAAGAAGTTCCACAGTCTGGGAGCAGCCACCAAAAAGGCCCGCTTCCATGTTCTTCACAATGCACATTGCCCTGCCACCCTTTCCCCCATCATATGGGGAAAAGTAGAGGAAAATGTGAGTACCTCCATTGGAGCTGTCCAAAATACACTTTTCTTCCTGTAGTGGTGGAGGCAGCGTCTTCTGGCACTTCAGCCCCACTTTGGGAGGAAATGTGGGTGAGGGTCTGCTATGTGTCATGTGATGGTGCATGGCAGTACCTGTCCTTGCCATGAAACAAAGCAGCAAAGTGAGGCAAAAATGCCCTGTGTTAAGAGGTGGCAGATGTCGCATCAACACACAGGGAATTTTCCAAAAATAACCTTTCCCCAATTTCCAATGAACTCTTTTTAATTATTACTCAGGAGTAATGGCCAAATGTTAAATTATTTTAGCAACATTACATTACTTAAGCATTAACACCATTTGCTTTTATTGCTAACATTTCTCTTTCTTTGCTTGATTTCTATTATTCTGGAAACAATTGCTGTGTTTCTTGGTGGTACCAAGGTAGCTATTTCATAGTATGACACAACAGAGATACATAGAGTCCTAGAATGGAACATTTCATTTGGGGGAAAACTGGGTTAATTTAAACTGGCTTTGAAAGTGGGAATGAAAAGTCATTGGTAGTACCGAGAGTTCTTTGTAAATATTTCAGTGTTGGTAAATCATGTAAATCTCCAAAATAAAATTGGTTTGTACTAATCTGGAACTTTCATAGATTTTTTTTAATCTGGGCAAACTTTTCATTATAAAACCAATATAATTTAAATATTTTTAACATCAGTGTTACCTTGACACTCCCGATTTCTCTTTTTGTACTACGACGTTTTCCTTCTTTTTTATAAAAATCAGCATCTATAAAAAAATAAAAGCCTCTCATGCATCATAAATCATGAAAAACAAAGACTAAATCTGTGCAAACCATTTATCTGTTAGTTGTAGTTTATACACAGATGTACTGTTTTCACAACAGTGCTATTTTATATTTCATACTAAGGGTGAGTTTACATAGACAAGAAAAAGTGGCTGACCCCACAGTGTTCACCAACTTCTACTGAGTATTGAATTTTCTTGCTTTGCTTCAACTTAGCAAATTTGACAAATTTGGGGGGATACTCTGAAGCTTGTTGGAAACAATGGAGTGTTCCAGCACTCCATAGCAGTCTGGGCAACTGTATCAGGTACGATTCAGCTTGGCTCAAAGTCCAGAGGGACACCATGTCATCACTTTTTCCCTGCACGTAACAGCACGTGGGAATTGGGTTGCTTATTTGGGAATGGCAGCAGTACCATGGAGGATAAGATCATGGTTGAGTGACGAGGGACTCAGGGTGGCTTACATGGGGACCAGCATACAACAGAATTTACAAGCTAAGACACAATTAAAAACATAATAACATATAATATGATATAAACAATCTTATTAAAACAATTAAAACCAGCAAAGTATAAAACATCATATAATATATCAGAACAACCTCAACAACCAGTGACGAGGAATATGGTAGGCATGCACAAGTCTTGGCCCTTCCCTCTCCAATCCCATATATTGTGGATTATCTGCCCTAATGCTTTGTATGTGATTTTCCTGCTTCTTGGAAGGGGGTTGGACTGAATAGCTTACGAGGTCTCTTCCCTGATTCTATGATTCTATGATATTCTGGGTTATATGGCTGTGTGGAAGGGCCTCTGGTCTTAATCATCACAACTGTTGGGGAGAGAACATGAGTAGGTATGCTAATGGTCAAAATCAAATCAATGTCTGCTTCTAAAAGAATATTTGTAAATATCTAAAGATAAATTGAGAAAATAAAATTAAAATAACTGTCTTGAATACCTGCATCTGATATTGTCTCTGAGATCTCTAATATTGGCTCTGATATCTCTATTTTGTTCAAACTAGTGGCACTCCTTTGTGTTATTTCCAATAGTTCTGAAGATGTTTCTTCGCTGATTAGATGCTGTTTTTCACTGAGGATTTCTGGTAATCGCTCCAAAGCAGGTGCTTCAATTTCTGCCTCAGAAATCTTAAGAATCATTAAAGCAGTATTGTATTTCCTGAGAAGAGTATAGCACCATCTTGTACTTCAACTATATCCCCTCATACGTGTGTATATGTGTACACACACACACACAAATATGTTAAAACATAGCAATTCTAGAATTTTGTAATATCAAACTTGTAGAAATATCTCCAGATAAATCAGAAATCATGGACTAGATCCAGTGTTTAATAAACCAGAATAAGCTATAAAGATTAGCCATAGTTTTGTCATTTAGAAAATCAGCATCCAAAAGAAAAACACTTTAACTAATCTGGTCACATTTGTGACTATAGAAAAGAAAGAAAAATAGTAGAAGTGGGAAAGGAAACAGGGAGTCTGGGGGAGGGGGGAAAGTGGGTAAAAAGACTATATAAAGGAGAAATTAGAAAATGAGCAATAATGGGAAGACAATGAATAGGCTCTCACAGCCACGGTGCTCCCACTGAACAAGAGAGGTCTGTTAAAGGCAGCCACCCATATATAAGGCTTCATACTGGCCTGTTCCTCAGGTTGTGCTCCTCTCCTAGGCTCTTCATGGATTACAGATGAACATGGAGAGACCCCAAAGAAAGGTATTTCCCAATCTGTAGGTGTGGCAGATTTTGGCTCAGGCACATATTTCCTATCCTCTGTTACTATCATTTTTCTAGACACTGGGGGGAGAAAAGCACTATCATTTTAATGAAATCCCTCACTTCTCTGGTCCACCATCTTAATGCACATGGGTAGAACTCCTGGTTGGTGTGTTCCAACTAGAGTAGATCTGTCATTCAACCAGAATGCATAGGTATATATTTGATTGAATGGGTCTACTCTAGTCACACTAACACTCTTACTTCTTAGAAATGCCTTTGAGGCAGTGGAATGAGGCAATAATAGAATAGTATCCTGAGATGTTTTTTTAAGCAACTGATTTTAAGTGATATAAGTGATTTTAATGTTTGTGTATATTTATACTTTTATGTCCCGGCATTGAATGTTTGCCATGTATATGTTGTGCTCTGCCCTGAGTTGCCTGCGTGGTGAGAAGGGCAGAATATAAATGTTTAAAATAAATAAATAAATGCAATGAATTAAGCAGCTCAATACATTCCTCTTTTGTTTAATGGAATAAAAAGGGAGTGGAGGAATGTGTTCATAGCTTTCTCATCCAAACAGTAGGAGACCCGGGTGGCGCAATGGGTTAAACCCTTGTGCTGGCAGGAATGCTGACCGAAAGGACGGTGGTTCAGATCCGGGGAACGGGGTGAGCTCCCATCAGTCAGCTCTAGCTTCTCATGCGGGGACATGAGAGAAGCCTCCCACAGGATGATAAAACATCTGGGCATCCCCTGGGCAACGTCCTTGCACACGGCCAATTTTCTCACACCAGAAGTGACTTGCAGTTTCCCAAGTTGCTCCTGACATGAAAAAAAATCCTACCAGTGGGAACTGGGCATATTATGAGAAAAGGGTACAATTATTTTCAACTTGCTGTCATGCCAAAATCCAAGAGGCTGTTGCTCTGAGCCTGTAAGACCTAAGCAGGGCTACTGATGATAGGGTGACTTGGAGGTCTCTCATCCATAGGTTTACTATAAGTTGAAGTTGACTTGATAGCAATGAATAACAGTGAAGTCATTTATACAAGGGTGGTAAAAAATCAAAACATCCGGGCATCCCCTGGGCAACGTCGTTGCAGACGGCCAATTCTCTCACACCAGAAGCTCCTTACATGAATATATATATATATGTGTGTGTGTGTGTGTGTGTGTGTTTGTGTGTGTGAGAGAGAGTGTGTGTTAGCTACCAGCTTGTTTCAGTCAAGGTGGCTATCTTAGTGTAAACAAATCTGTCTTTAATAAATGAGCCAGAAAACATAAGAGCAAACCAAAAAGTGAGTTTAAGATAAACATTCTTGGGATAAAAGAGAGAGCACGCTTAGTGTTTTTTTTTTAAATACCGTAAACAGCAACAAAAAGCCCATGAGATGATGAGACATCTTGCTTCAAATTCTATGATACTCAGCTTTGTTTAGTTAAAAGAATCTTTAAAACAATTACTTTCAACTTTATCTTGTTCTTCTAAATTGGAGGGTCCCCCCTGGATCAGAAAATCAAACATTTTCAGGGAACCTTCTGAAGTGCAGGGAGAACAGTAGATTTCTGAAGGAGCTATGGGTAATCTCCAAGATGGCTAATAGATAAAAGTCAGAAGAAAATAAAGAATAGATGTGTATTTAAGACTGTAAATTAATTAAATTGTTTTAGTTGCTAACTTATCTATTTTTAAAACTGAATAGTCAACCAATTAAATTTAAATAAGTCTGGATATAACTTAAACAGAATAGATACCATTCTGAGGTACTGGATGATACTTTGTTTCTTAAATGATACAATACCGCTTTACAGTAAAGACCCATGTTTTAGTCATAGCTAGAAATGTATCTTTTTCATTTCCTGTTCAGGTAACTTTTAAAACACTAAAATAAAAATACTTTCAAAAATATACAAAATTGATACTTTCATCTCAGGCCTTTAAAGGTTTACCTGTTTTGATCAAAGAATAACATTTCATGTTTATATGTCTATGAATTAATAAAGCCATAATGTTTATTGATTATCTATCACTTTTGAACTGCACTCTTCCTTCATGCAACTTGGAGAAGAAATTATGAGGTTATCACATTTTATCCGTAAAACACTGTGGATAACTATGGAAGGAAAGTATCTTATTTTCAGTTTCATGGGTCACTGTATTTATGTTATCTTTAAAGAGGAAAGTATCCATCTGCATAAGAAATACAAGGTAAACACTCTTTTTGCACATATATTTTATATTGCTATGTATAATTTTCTATCTGTATAAAACTATTGGTGCCAAGCCCGTAGCCGGGGGGGGGACTCAGCCCCCCCCCCGAAATTCACATGAGAGAAGCCTCCCATAAGGATGGTACATTATTTAAACTATTATGTTGATTCATATAATGATCTGATCACCATGTTCAATATATCCCATATGCATGGGGGTATTGGAGTAATGATACAAAAGGTTTGCTAGGGTAGACCCTCTTTCACTCAGATTCAGCCCCCCCCCGAATCAAAATCCTGGCTACGGGCCTGATTGGTGCAATTTCATTCATTCATTCTTGTTGGTCAAAGCCAAGGTTTTGTTGACTGGATCACACTGGTCACATTCACTGTGTGGAGGATGTTTCCTTACACTGCAAGTTCTTTATAACCTAACCTTTTCTTTCTTCTTACGTAAAAACTGCAACTCTGATGTAAAGTCTTCAGTGAAGGCAAACCCCTTGTAAGGTTCCTAGAAAACAGTAAAGATATTTAAGAAAATATTGATTTTTTTGGCCATATTGTGCATGACTTTCTAGCTATAAGGAATTGCTATTATATAATTTAGACTTTTAAAATTTATAATGTCATTTATTTATTTACTTTATTTATATCCAACCTTGCTCTACCTCTGAGGGGACACACGGCGGCTAAAGATATGCAACAATTCTATGCCTTAAGAATAATATACCATTAAAATACATTACAATTAAAATGAAAATCAAATACATTAAAACATTATAAAGTATTACTATCACAATAAAACCACTCAATCCACAAATATTCAATGTATACCTACTCAGTAGCAGGTTCCATTGAATTAAACTGGACTAAGTATCAGAGAACTAGTTACAGTATTACAGCCCTGTAAAATTAAGAGGACTGTACCATTAAATCAGTATTTCTTTCTAGAATGTGAAATTTGATCCTACATAAAAATTAATTCTAAGTATGTAAAAAAGCACCATAGTCTTTGTATACAATAAAAGTGCATATATGTATGTATGTATGTATGTGTTTTCCAAGATGGCTCCTACATCTAGAGAGCCCTGTGACTCCCGCCAACAATGGATCTGTTCAAAACTGGCACATAAGACACATAAGTTCACCTACATCGAAAAAGCCATATCATGTGCACCAATGATGGATCTTGATCAAACTTAGCACACATAACCATCATAACCTACTTAAAATAGTGGTAGGGTTTCAGTAGGGATTGACACAGGATGATGAGAAATGTAGCTCCCAGATCTGAACACCTGTGTGTATCCTACATCTAGAGAACCATGTGTATATCTAATGGGACCATTCATAAAATCCAGAACCAAACAATGTCTTTTTCTAATACTTATCATTACAAAACACCTAACCTGAGCATTGTGGGTATCTAAAGTCATTATCTATACTTGAGATCATAGCTGTGACCTGGAATTTTAAAATAATGTGTGTGGTTATTCATCCTGTTCAGATTTGTAGTTGCACAATGCAAAGCTTCCAAAAAACTAATTAATGAATAAGTTAGGTCTCTCTGTGCCAATTTTTGTAAAACAGGGACACCAAAGAAATAGGATTAGAATTACTGGGCTTTTCAGTCCTTCAGTTATTACTATATGGTTAATTCGATGATGCCATCAGTCTGAGATCTGCACACCAAAACATCTAATAAAGAGTAAGAATATCTATATTTCTTGTATGACAAAGTTGGAGCCAAGGAAGGAAATGATAAAAGACAGAAAAGATACAGAATAGTGTCAGGTCAACAGGTAGACAAGTACACTGTGTATAATACATGAGAGCCAGGCAGACATTCCAGAAAAAAAAATATTGCTGTAGATGAGTCCTTAGTCTAGTTTTAAAGCAATCCTAAAATCAGAAATTCCTTGAGGAACCATTGCACTACTGGGCATGTAACAGAAGGTGGCAGACTTCACAGCAGATATTTGATGCAACTCATTTTAATAGTTCATGCCTATGAGGACAAAATGCTGTATTCAGATTTGTTTTGGTCATAAAGTTTAAAATGTAATGGCAAGACAGAATGTACCAGATATGATGCCATCTCAATGGATTTAGACACATCAATGTTTTCCAGAAGTGGACTTTCAAAAATAAAGGATTCTGGAAGAGATCAAAAGGGCAGAATTTATATATTATCATTCATATTAAAAGATCATATTATGGTGAACTGATTATGATAAAACTATATTTTATTTATTATTTTTACACAGCATGCTGTTTTTTTTTAAAAAAAATCAAAGAAATCAGATGTTTCTTTCTTTATCACAGTACTACTATTTTTCAGTGCTTTGTCAAAAGGAACACTTTCTTGATACCTTATCCCATGAAATAATGTATCATTATGAATCAATGCAGAAACATATTTGCAACTTATATTTTCTCATGTGGGGATGAGAGAAGTTCAATTCCTACTCAAATAATAAAATTTCTTTTGTTGGTTTCACCTATGGGCTATTATTACATCTGATTTCACTGATTATAGTGAACAGAAAATAAAATTTGCAAACTCATTTCAGATTTTGGATAGGATGGCAAATCTGATTTGTGGTCACAGTGACTAGTACCATGGGATTTGTATGCCAACCTGTATTAGAAATTGGTAAGAAATTTGGTGTTGCAAAAGATCAAATATGTATTTTTGACAGTGGCTTCTCTTTTGTAAATTACACAGAGGGCATAAAAAAACCCAGCAAAATGAATAACCAACAATTGGTATATTTACAAATCTCAGGTTATCCATATAAAATGTTTGCACTCTATAAATGAATGCAAAATGATACCAACTTTTTACTAGTAACACTTTGTATACAGTTGGTGCAATTGATTTATTCACTTAACATACATTCAACCTTTCTTGCTGCATGGGAATTGCAGTTATTAATGTTTCATTAAAGCAGCATATATTGTTCTTATGTATGATGGGTAATAGTTCCCAAATTTTACTGGAGTAGGGGTGTTCATCTAATGATAATGATAAGGTTGAACTGGTCATGGACCGTAATAAAGTGAACTTGACTTGATGTGACTAATGATAAGGTGTAATAGTAAGGTGTATTACATTATTTACTTTAAAATTGGTTGAGCTGGTCCTGCTGCATTTCACACCCTTCCTCCTCATCCTACACAGGTCTTCTCATTAGCTCCTGACTGGGAGTCAGCTGAATTCTTGGCTGAGTGCTAGATGATTCCTAACTTTCTTGAACCCACTCCTTTTATGGCTAGGTTTGGTAACATTTTGTACATGAATATGCAGTGGGCCATTGGTGTCAACTGGAGTTTGATCCCTTGGATACCAAAATCCGTAGATCATAGAATGGGCCATCCAGTCCAACCCCCTGCCAAGAAGCAGGAATATTGCATTTAAATCACCCATGACAGATGGCCATCCAGCCTCTGTTTAAAAGCTTCCAAAGAAGCAGCCTCCACCACACTCCAGGGCAGAGAGTTCCACTGCTGAACAGTTCTCACAGTCAGGAAGTTCTTCCTCATGTTCAGATGGAATCTCCTTTCTTGTAGTTTGAGATGCCCTAAATCCATTATATATCATAGTAGAACAAAATGTTGCCCCTGATATAAAATGGCAAAATCAATCATTTCTTTTTTGTTTTTTTGTTCTTGGTAATATTCTGAATCTATGGATTGTTGAATTCACAGATACAGATAAAATATAAATCAATGTTACTTTACAAATTCTACTCTGCAAAAATTAAAAAAGAGAATTGAACGCCATTGTCAAAATAATGGCTAAAATTTAAAACATATTTAGAATAGAAATTACTTATAAATATAAAATACAGCACACATACTACTGCTAAGAAAATTCATATCCCAAACTTCTAGCTAAACAAAAAAAAACCCTGTTCACCTGTTGGTGAAAGATATCCAATTGGACCTTCTGTGGAATGGATGGGAACAGTCACAGAGAAGGCTCCTTCCCATGTCCCCCTAAAAGTGCCTATGAAAGTGGTGGGATCTTAAAACACATGCTGGATTTTATAGGGGGATATGGTCTTTCAGATGATCCCTTCCATTCCCACACCCACCCTTTTCCTGTTCCCCAAATAGCATTCAGTCAGCATTCTGTAACTACAAAAAATGCACAAAGATAATTGGACTATTTTAGGTTTTGTACAAGTGTTTTTTTCTCCTAAATATTTTTTGTTTTTATTTCTGCAAAGACTGGAATTACCAGAAGTGCAATTATATCTCTCTGTTATGTACAGATAGTATTTTTTACATATATTTTGCATGCATGGAGAATAAGTTCCACTATTAGTAGGCAGGACAATTTGCATTGGTATAAATTATAAAATAAGATTGAGGTGTTAAATAAATTTCAAATTAGTGTGTCTAAGACTGCAACCATCTACAAAATACAATGAAGTATGTTTCAGAATAAAAAGGAAATATCACTCTGTGCGTACAAAATATTTCATAGAAATTCAATTAATGTTCTTCGAATAGGTCCCAGACTAATCAGAGAGTCCATTTGTGTTTTGTAAACATGGGGAATGGACTTGTGAGTTATCAACTTCCTTTCATGAGAGACATGGCTGCTGTGTCACATGTTCTCCTGGCCAGTCAATCAGAGGCCGAACCATCCATATTGGGACTGGGTCCCAAGGTAGACTGCACAGAATAAATTCTTCTCTGATCCTCCAGAGGGAGACTGGGTCACATTGCCAGCGATTCTCATTGAGTGATCTTGCCATCCTCTCTTGATTATACTCTTGCATGTGGGGAAATTTGCAATTGTACTTAGATCTGCATGTAACTATATGGCGAATCTGCTCTTTCTCCTTGCCATAACTCTTGGTGGCTTTGGTATTGGGACAGATCACGTTTTGGAACGGGAGATCTTTCCTTTGGGTACATCTTCTCCATTCTGGAGATCCCCCTTAAAGGATCCTGGGAACAGCATTTCCAGTAATACATCCAGCTTGGAGGCAATTGAACCTGCTTGAATCTATGTGGTGCATGTACCATGCAATGTTTCACACCTACGTGGAAGTGCAGTTTCTATTATTCCATGATATATCCTACCTGCTGCTAATACTGTAGAAGTTTCAGTATTTCTTTTTGATATACCCAGTGCCGTAGTAAGAGACAATAGATAAAGATCACTTTTGAAAGCCAATAAAATGTCACCAGAACTATTAAGGAAACAAGCTGTGCTCAAAGTGTTATCAAGAGTGATCTCAGCCAAGAGATTCTTTTGAAGATCCCACAGTTTTATTACAGTATCTGAACTATAAAAGAAAAAAAGGAAACATATTAGTAATTAGCCATAACATATCATTCATATTTATGCATTTGTTTATTCCTGAAATGTGAAGAAAATTTAAGTTAACAAGAAAACAAATATACTGTATTTTCTGGCATATAAAACTACTTTTTAATCCAGGAAAAACTTCCCAAAAGTCAGGGGTCGTTTTATATGCTGGGTGTCATCTTATAAGGTGGGTGCTGAAACTTCTGAGCCAGACTGGAAAATCTGCAGTCACCGCATATGGTGAGGGGAGCTCAAAAACGGACGTGGCCACATCCCCGCTATATGTGATGACTGCAAGAAAGCAGCAAGGGCGGTGCTGTACAAGTACGGTAGAGGAAAATCCACTCACCAGGATTCATGGAAATAAGTGACTTAATGTGGTCCCGATGACGAGGTGAGGGGGCACCACTACAGGAAGGAGTAAGTGAAGGGTGGAGCAAGATGCAGGCGTGCAGGATGCCCGGGGTATGGAAAAAAGAGATAGAGTGGTGTTGTGCCCAGAAAAACATGCCTCTTTCACCCGTCTGGCCCACCCTTGTATCCTATTACCACACCTCCTTCTCTGCCTCTCAGATCACACTCCTGAGGACTGCAGTGAAGCAGGACAGGCACGCATGTGTAAGATCTGAGAGGCAGAGAAGGAGGTGTGGTAATTATAGCTATTCCTATTAAGCCCCTTCTATACTACCCTATATCCTAGGATCTGATCCCAGATTATCCGTTTTGAACTGGATTATATGAGTCTATACTGCCAGATAATCTGGGATAAGCAGATAATCTGGAATCAGATCCTAGGATATAGGGCAGAGTAGAAGGGGGCTTAGAAATGCTTATGTAAGAACCAAGTCAGTTTCTCAATAGAAATAAAAGATCTTCATTTACACCTACACTCTGCGAGTGGTTTTGAGTCATTAAGACTGACTAAGTTCTGATGATCTCTTTCTTTCTGTTTCTACCTGATGAGTCCCAAATCCAATGAGGTGTTTACAAAGGCATTTTGTACTACTGAACAACATAGCATTCTATTTATACCACTACAGTTTACTGAGGTCATCCAGGGCATCCTGAATAAATTCACAGTGATTTGTTTCTCAAATATCCTAATGACACCAGATCCTATCCAATCTTGGAGGTTAAGCAAGGTTAGGTTTGTTAGTAGTTGAAAGGGAGATCACCAGGAAATAACAAGGGAAGTATGCTTTATTTGAGTGAAAACAATGGCAAATGCCCCTGAGTAATCTTTGCCTAAGAAAATCTTATGAAACTCCAGAGGATGCAGTACGTTGACAGGTGAGTAGAAAACATACACTTTACTTATCTTAACCTTACAAAGTACAACACCCATTTCTTTCGTGGAATGAGGCAGAGATCTCAGAAACAATCTTTCATTAGTCAAAATATAAGTCACAGTCTATGGCCTCAATCAGGGTGGAAAACACACGGCCTCCCAAATGGCATTCAAATTAACACTTAGAGTAATGAGATTTCTCTGAGTTTGAAAGCTGAGAGTGATATTTTGAGAGAATACAGAATGGTTTTTGATAGAAAACAATCTCAGGTGGATTTTATTTCACACAATTGCAACAAATTTTACTCCTACAAAATTTAAAGCGAATGTATGTGCTTACACATAATACTTTGGAAACACCTTGCAAATTTATGAAATTAATTTCCCAAGGAGGCACATAGGGATTTTCACCTGTAAGAAATTAATTTTATTGCATATAATTTGTACTTTACAAGATGGAATCTTGCGAAAAAATAAAATTATACAGCAGCCATATTGATATTGTGTCATTTTGAAAGGGGTTAAATACTCTGGAGGACACTAGAGCAAGGTAAGCTTCTGCTCCACTCCCAGTAAGCCAACTTTGAGCCATAATCCTGGGGAAAAGGGAGGGAGAGAGAAGCAAGAGGAAGGTAGCAATGGGCAGTCCAACAATGGAAAGAAAAACACCAAGTAAACTGATTTCAATAGCCCTTGTCTTAATTTTCGCCACTGACTTTGGATAATTAAGGTGATAGCTGTAGTCACCTTGCCGATAACTTTTCTTTGGGGAATTTGGTCCTATATTTTTAAAAACAAATGTATCAAAGAGCCGACACTATGCAGGTTAATAGTGCAGTATATCCTCTGTATTTCTTTTCTTATTTTTTCTATAAAAAGAGATCACATTGATATCCTTACCTACCCACAACTTAAAAAGATAGAAAGATTCTCACAGGAATCAACTGCTACTACAGGGCCATCATGGTAGTTGTCAAAGCAAGAATAAGCATTTTCCCCTTAAAAACAGAAAATTGAAATAATATGTAAATTGTGAGTATCTAAATGCAGGCTTTGAATATACTTGGAGAATCATCATTATCCCACATATCAGAATATTTCTCTACATTATTTAGAGTACAATAATTTATTCACTGATAACATCCTATAAAATATGCTACTATATTATGGATGGGTTTCTTTTACAAGACATAAGTTCTATAATAAATTATTTTCCAAAATGTCTTCAACTGGCTGACTCTTTCAGGTAAGTTATATATAAAATAATTAGTTTTTACATCTCTGGAATAGTGTCAATACACTCTTCAGCAACAGCGGCTATATAAAGAAATTCAGGCTTGAAGCTTATTTACCTTAGATATTGTTTACTCTGACTGGCAAGGGTGCTTCAATTTCTCAACTGTTATTATTATAATCTGATCCCTAACTGGGAATGCCAACTGATGAATTTGCCACATGCACTCTGCTGTCTTATTGTAAACTATCTTTGACTAATTTTAAGAAAGACTGGGACTTATTCATTACTTTTTCACAACGACGACGGGGACATTTACCAACTGTGAGATTAATGAATTAGTACAGTGTTTTCTGAAGTAGAAGTAGTATTACATTATCATTTAAATGGAGTAGATAAAGAAGGAATAATAATAATGAGATAAGAGTGTGGGAAGTTCAGTTTTTCATTTTGTGTGTGTATGATTTCTTTGTTCTGTTCTTTGTTGTTGTTTTTCTGTTTACTTTAGTTTTAATATTTGCTTAGTTTTAGGTTGTTGTAAGTTTTTTGGGCTCTATGGCCATGCTCCAGAAGCATTCTCTCCTGACATTTCACCTGTATCTATGCCAGACATCCTCAGAGGTTATGAGGTCTGTAGTTTAGTGGTAGAGGACAATATATAGTTAGTTATGCAGTTATTATAATTTTTATACTTCTAAAAAGCTAGTTTGATTTATCCCCCCGCAGCCTTGAATATTAAAAATTAAACTTAATTGTGGAATCATTAAATTTGAGACATTCAGTTTCTGTGATTAAGAGGAAACTGTGCTACTGATCATGAAGCAGTTACTCAACTTTCTGACACAGTCCTGTGCTCAGCCCATCCCTTCATGGTGAGGAGACAGTATCAGTATCTAAACATTACACTGAATTCTCATCTTCCTTCAGTTGTCAATATACTGACGCATATATATGTGCATATCTAATTGTGGAAACTCAATGAGGATGATTCACAGAGAAATGTAGTAGCTCCAAAAAGGGCTGTATTTTTAATGCACCTGCAAACAACACCCTGAAATCAATCCTGCACATAACAATTTATTTATATGTATAAAAATGCATACGACCTACAATGGTTACAACCACTAAACTATGTTGCCCCCACAATCACTGCTGAATTAGGCATTTTGACATTTCTTGTGCTATGGATTTAACTTCGTAATGGCAATTAATTCTATTACTTCTTGGATAGAGCAGCAGTTAAAATTATCTCTGTGTGAAAGTGCTGGAGGCAAGTTGTGTTGTTTTGCAATGGTCATGAGTGTAAGAACTGAACAAACAAGAGTTTTTCCTTCTTAAATTCAGGTTTGCAGCATGTCACCTACACAAAAGAGAAATGCCAGCATTGTGGGCAGGAAGGTATGAATTAGTTGTTGCAAGAAGATGAGGAAGATGTTCTATACTCACCTGCAATGTATTTGAGTCAAGCTTGACTAGTTTTTTTTTAGGAAAACTCAGATTGTGACACAGGGCCTGTTTATATGTCACCATTTACATATATACCCCAAAGGAAAACTTAAACTATAAGGTATATATATTGTGTTATATCAGATACTATTAGGCAGAAACAGACACCAAATATTTACACTCCCTTCTTTGGCTGCTTTCATACACTAAAGTATTTTAACCAAATGAAAAAAACCCACATAAAAACAGGGCCTACACACATTTTGAAACTATTTGGTTGTTGGTTAATTCATAATTTGGTATAATCATATGTGCTCGAAACACATTCCCCACTGTAAACTCAAACAGATTAGGAAGGAAAGGAATACCACTGCTATTTCCTGATTTGGTCATTAACAGTCAGGGAAATGCTCTCAGACCAGGGGCAAAAGCACAATTTTTCCCTCTTCTGCCCTGAAGGGGCAAGAGGAAGAGGAAGCTTGCTACTGTTTAAGTCTCAGATTTCCCACCCTTCCTGTCTATATTTCTCACTGGAAAGGATTCCCACTATTATCTGCTATCTCAATCTACACTTGGGCCTTGATGAGGACGATGATAAAGTCTTCAACACAGAGCTTCAGGGATGGGGAGGGAGGGGCTTTGGGGACAAGGAGGAACTTTAGTGAGAAGCAGCCCCTAACCCCCCCAAACAGGTGAGGTGTAAATGCTTTGTTGAGAGAATGGGTTGTCATGCCTCCTTTCAAAGCAGCTGTGACCATCTTGATCCTTCTGATGGACAAAGCTAGTGCCTTCTGCCCCCACCCCCCGCAATCCCAGTTACATAGTCAGCAAAATATTCTGCATAAAAATCAAGCAATTCTATTTTTATTATTTGAATGGCTGAATTTATTCCCATATTAAATATTTAAATTTTTTGAATTAGAGCTGTGTTTGCCCTGCATACATTTTCATGTTATCAACAGTGATCTTACCATTCTCATTCTTATTTTTTCCAGAAGATGTGATCCCTTTCTCTTCATTTTGGATATTTAAAATATCCACAATTCCAGATGTTAGGCCAATAATGAGTGAACTGTTCTGAAATACGAATACAAGTTAAGTTTGATATGTTAAATCCATTCTTTTCTGCTTAAAGCATTATTTTTTAATTAATAAAAGAACAGCATTTTAAACTATCACTCTATTGAATGTTCATTTTTGTTTATTTTACAAAATGGCTGTGTTTTTTTTTCAGTCAAAGTTTTGATTTTCATCAAAACTTTCTGCAATATTATATGAAAGATTACTTTGGTAGTGGTCATTACCACAGGTAATTGGGGCATATAATATGAATTTGTTGTATAAAATGCATAAATGTAGAGTCTTATCTTAATGTTGTTATTCCATTCAACTTAATACTTTTGTTTCACACTCAGAACGATTAATAGCATTTCTCAAATCTGGGCTGTGCTTTATGTGTATGAAACTTAGAAGACTTTGCATAAATGGCTGTGTGCCCAGAAATTCTTATACACATATTGATATCTGTAAGAGAATTTGTCATATTTATTCCATAGCAGTTTCTCTGGAAATAGACAGACAGACAGACAGATGACAGAGATGTGTGTGTGTGTGTGCATGCTTTCTGTTTTGCTTGTGCTAACTTATGTATTTGTCAGGATTATTTCTGTGAATCCTTTTCAAATTTTGTAGCCCCGTAAAAGTAGTAACAAAAGTAACATCACACTCTGTCCTAAAAGATTAATCCAGAGATCTAACTAGAATATCAAAAGCTGCAGGTGTTTTAGAGGAAATGTTTGATAAAATCAGCCAATTATAACATCACAATAATAGTCCTGTCATAAACACATCACATTCTCACAATAGTACTCATTATTCTCATTGCTCACCAGTCTTGTAAAAACTGTGGTATCGTCTGATACTTCTATCTGGAAAACTAGCTTCAGAGCAGGCAAGCTTCTGAAATGTATCAATTTGTGTTTTGACCTCTGGTATATGATAATCAGTTGGCGATGGGTTGAATCATGTCTTAAGTGGATCACCTAAATTAATTGATGTGTTTCTTTAATAACAGCGAATATTGAATGGATACATATCTGTTCAAATAAGAAATCTCACAAATCAACATGAATATAACATTCCAATATATGTTTTGGAGCTATACTTTGATATGTTATAATAACAATAACAACAGCTTCAGACTAATTTAAAATTATTTAAAATGATTATAATGAAAAGATGAGTCTTAAAAATACCTTTTGTTCCATTTCTATTCTTATATTAAATTAAATGTACTCAGTTGAAGATTCAACATTCAGATATACAGAATGTTGTGCATGATGTAGATCAGGACTGGGAAAATAATAGGCCACAGGCTGCATGAGACTCTTGGGCCCTCAAGAATCCTGGGCTCCCAAGAATCCTGAATCTGCCCTGAAGAATCCAGCCCCCTGTTTTTGACCCAACTTCCCATTTTTTTTAAAAAAAATGTTCATGTTAAAAGTACTCCACATTAATCAAAAGTATTGCAATAAGTAGCAGTTTTGCTGCCTCATACTGATCACATACCCTAAAACCTACCCCTCAAAGTTGGGTGAAAACAAGCTCTCAAGATGCTCACATACACCCAAAGCTACTCCCCACTGTCCCAATTGGTTGAAAACAAGCTAAATTATTCCAGTCATACTGTGCATGGCAGTGCAGATCATCAGAAGGGTACACAGGTGAAAAATGGTTTCCCTCTCAGATGACCACCAATTGGCTGGTGTAGATGCATAAAAAGAAAAGCATAGCAAGTACAACATAGAAAGGAATATGGGCCTTATGTATGACCTGTATGTAAAAATATAAATCTATCCTGTTTGTGGTTGTATTACTGTTTGCAGATTTCTTTTTTTTTTATTTTACAAAAATACCCATCAACATTATATATTAATAAATATTAATTTTCAATAGCATCAACAGAAGTCATAAAGTTTACTTACTGGATCTTTAATGGCTGCCATTTCATAATACACCAAATTTTGTATTGAGGTATGAAGAAACAAAACTCTCCCATCCTTTTAAGAAATAAGAAATATCATTATGCCAAATGTGATACAAAACTTTTGGGACTTCCGGTTGGTGGCCGCATGATGGTGGACGTGCTCTGAGGCTCTCTCCGGGAAGAGAGCTCAGAACAACCAGGTTTTTGCTAGATCAGGGGGACAGCACCCCTCCTTTGTCGATGGTCAGAGGTCGCAGAGGCTAGACCCTAAAGTGTTGTCGGCCGACGGCGTTAGAGAGGTGCCCCCCTCAAGGGGACACCCAACGAACGCCCGGCAACGGACACACGAGGGTGGACGCAACTCCTTGGTAGGAGGCTATAGGAGGCTATAGTCTTCATTCCCTCCATCGACCACCAACACACCGAAAAGGAAAAAATTTAAACAAGAATCTCAAAAGATACAAAGCGATCAGTACTTCTGGGATCTATAGTCGACGAGAAGACAGGAAGAGAACTTACATGCAAGATGGAAAGATAGACGATAGACGAAAGTAACAAGAGGACGCTCTACATCGAAAAATAAAAGGTAAAAGAGGGAAAGAGGAAAAAGAAAGAGAAAGAAAGGGGGTAGGAGGAGTGGCGAACAGAGAAGAAAAGAAGGAAAGGAGGAAAGGAAAGAAAGGAAAGAAAGGAGAATATAAGAAAGAGTTGAGTGAATTGCCACAGCTGGGTAGAGCGAAATGCTCCCTCCCATAACAGGGACAGCAAAACCAGGAGAGCCCCCATACTCAAAAGCCGGCTCTTAAAGGGGCCGAAGGATGGGTTATTGGAGGCAAGAGGTATAGCGGGCTGTGAGCATAGCAGAGTATAAACTGAAGAATTCGTAATTTGCAATTCAAGAAAGTATATATACAAGAAAACTCGGAAAGTAACAAAGGATATATACTACCCTTCCCCCCTCCGCTACCCTTAAGCCTATAATTTCTATAAATACCCTGACCTTGAAAACACGCTGGACTAAGATTAACGAAGACAATAGAAAGACGGTGTTGTTTACCTTATCTTATCTTAGAAGAGTGGAGAGCGTCCTTGAGGAGACCTCGTGGCCAGCGAAGGACTTGTGGGAGGGCAGAATAGCATCCGCCCTTCCTCTACTGTTCAGCCCCGGAAATAACAGGCCACGCGGTGAAGAAATCGCGCGAGACAGCAGAAGATAACGCGAGACTGCCGCAATCTCGCGAGAAAAGTCCAAACTAACACGAGAGCGAGGTGAGCCCTGATCCCGCGAGAAGACGACGAGAAAGGGATGCAAAAAGCAGGAAGTGGGAGAACAGGAAGAAAACAAACACCCTGACACCAATAGCGGAGAGGAATAAGTGGAGAGCCAGAGGACAGGGGCATAAGACAAAGAGTTAAGAGAGAAAAAAGGTAAAAGGAGAAGGGGACACACAGAAGGAAGGAAGCAAGAGATCTTTGAGACTTAAAACAAAGCAGCGAATTGCGACTAGAGCAAAAAGAAAGCGGAAAGAAAGTGAATAAAGGGTAAGAGAACTTAAATTAATCCAGGAATAAATAATCTAACCTTTATAATTCATAAAATCATTATCGAATTGAATTGATCCAATCCCATCAAATACAAAGAAAAGTGATACATAGAAATATATTGATATATCAGCAAACTAAGAATAAGGAAACAGGACAATTAAAATAAATATGGCAACACAAAGCATCAAAGGGAAAAACCCACAAGCAAATAAAGTACAAGCAAGAAGAGATTCCTTATGCAAACAGGACATACAAATAGAAGCTCAGACAAAGAAAGATCCTACAGCAGAAGAATCCATATTGGGCAATATATTAGCAGAGATAAAGAAGCTCTCTGAAAAGCATGATGAACAACACAAGGAATTGCAGTCTGAAATTCAAAACATGAAGAAAGAACTTAAGGAAGAAATTGGTAAATTACAAGAAGACGTCGATAAGGTGAAAAAAGAAAATCAGAAACTGTGGAAAGTACAAGGAAAAGCGGAAACCAAATTGAACAAACTGGATTCTATTACCCAGAAAATACAGCAACAAACAGAAAAACTGGAGTACAGAGAATCTGAATATCAATTAAGAATTCGGAATTTGAAAGAAGTAGAAAATGAAAACGTGAAGCAAAACATGATTGTACTATTAGCAGAGTTGCTAGACGTGAGCACTGAAATAATTGGGCAAGATGTTGACAGGGTGTATAGAGTGCCCACAGGATATGCCAAAAAACACAAGACACCCCAAGACGTCGTAATAAGCTTCTGCCGAAAAAGCACGAGAGATGAAATTCTAAAGGAAAACATAAAAAAATCAATTTACTTCAAAGATCAAAAAGTAATAATCATGAAGGAAATCCCTCAACAAATTCTGGCAAGACGACGGAAGTTCTCCTTCCTCACGAAAGAACTAACCAGGAAAAGAATAAAATTCAGGTGGGAGAAAACAGACGGATTAACGGTCACCTTGAATGACAAGAGATATTGGCTGAACTCTGAAGAAAGCGCGAGGGCCTTCTATAATGACCATATCAAAGAAAAAACAAATGAACCAACACAAAGGAAATTCCATGATGAGAAGAAGAAGGAGAGTCCCAAGAGAAACAATAAAGAATCGAAAACTGCTGAGGATACAGAAAATGAAGAAGATGAAGGAGGAAAAGGTGCATATAAATGGCCAAGGGACACACAAGAAGAGGAGGATGAAAGGGACCTCAAAAGACTGAGAGAATTCTCTCCGGAGAATTATCAACTAGTGGTACCGCAGGATATGCTGCAATGGGAGATGACCGAAAATAACCATGAATAAGAGGAATGTGAAAATATACTCTAATAACATCAATGGATTGAACTTCCCCAGTAAGAAGAGAAAATTCTTCAGCTTCTTAAAGCAGAAAAAATATGACCTGATAATGCTCCAGGAGACACACATAGCCGACAGGCACACCAAACATCTAATCGAAAACAAATTAGGAAAAATGTTCCAAGCGTCTTATAGTGAGAAAAAAAGAGGGGTGGCAATGTATGTAAAGGAATGGTTAAACCCTATACAAATATTTAAGGACACACAGGGAAGATATTTAGGTATCCAAATTGAAATAAAAAAATAAAAAGATTCTTATGTGCAATATTTATTGRCCCAATGGTCRGAAAATACAATTCATAAAAGAACTGGTAAAAGAGATAAATAAAGTAGAATATGATGACTTAATCCTCATAGGCGACTTCAATGGGGTGGTAGATGGCGCCCTGGACAAATATCAAATTAAAGGAAAGGTAAGAAAAGGTAATAATAAAACCGGTGTACTACCAAAAAAATTCCTAGCACAACTAGATAAACTACATTTGAAAGATGCATGGAGGCATCATAATAATACAAAAAAAGACTATACATATTACTCCGGGAGACATGATTCGTGGTCACGGATTGACATGACCTGGACCACCAATTCCATAAATTTAAAAATAAAGAAAATCGAGATTATACCAAGAGTGTTCTCAGACCACTGCGCCCAAGAAATAGTAATAAAAGGGGATGACATTCCATATCGATGGAAATTAAATGAAAACTTACTAAGGAAGGAAGCGGATATCGAAAGAAACAAAAAATTACTAGTAGAATACCTAGACTTAAATAAAGGGGGAGAAACCTCAAAAATAACCCAATGGGAAGCGATGAAAGTAGTTATGAGAGGCTACCTAATACAACAAGATGCCATCAGAAAAAAGATTAGGAAAAAAGAACTAGAAGATATAATGACAAATTTAAATAAAAATGAAGAATTATTAAAGGAAAAACCAAAAGATAAGAATCTAAGATACACCTCCAAAGTACTTAGAAAGCAAATAGAATTATTACAAACGGAACTTATAGAGAAACAAATGAAATTCACCAGAGTTAACTACTTTCAAAATGCCAATAAAATTGGGAAATGGCTAGCCAATAAAATTAAGAAACGCAAACAAAAACAGATAATTACAAAAATAAAAACGCAAGAGAAACTGTACACGAAAGGTCAGGACACAGCAAACCAATTCATTCAATTCTATAAGGAGTTATATAAAAAAACAAATATCCCATTGGAAAAGATTTCAAGTTATCTAGAAAATCTAAAAATACCTCAGTTAACAGAGGTACAAAGGGAAATGTTGAATGGCCCAATTACATCATGTGAAATTGACGGAGCCATCCATAAATTAAAATCAAACAAATCACCGGGGCCAGATGGCTATACTGCCATCTTTTATAAAGTGTTCAAAGACGAATTAGGCCAACTCCTAAAAGACATCTTAAATATTATTTTAGAAAAAAAATTAATACCAAAATCATGGGAAAAAACTAACATTGTCCTGATACACAAAGAAGGCTCAGACCCATTAGAAGTTAAAAATTATAGACCCATATCGCTGCTAAACACTGATTACAAAATATTCGCGATAATTATGGCAGAAAGATTAAAAAATTTCTTAAAAAATTGGATTTTAACAGATCAAGTAGGCTTTCTCCCAAACAGACAAATAAAAGATAATATTAGAATTATAATTGATACAATAGAATATTACGAAAAACACAACGAAAAACAATTGGCCCTCATTTATTGATGCGGAAAAGGCCTTCGACCGAATTAATTGGAATTATTTAAAATTATTAATAAAAGAATTAGACATGGGATTTCATTTTATAAATGCGGTAGAGGCCATATACTCAAATCAAGAGGCCACTCTTATAATAAATGGGGAAGAGACAAAAGAAACCATAAATATTACACAAGGCACCCGCCAGGGATGCCCCCTGTCCCCCCTACTATTTATTTTAGTAATGGAGACATTGATAAGGACTATAAATGAGGACCAAACATTAAAAGGAATGAAAATTGGAAAGTATCAATTTAAACTAAGAGTTTATGCGGACGACGTGGTGTGTATAACAGAAGATCCAATCAATAACATTAAATATTGTCTAAAAAAGATAGAAAACTTTGGTAATGTAGCAGGATTTAAATTAAACAAACAGAAAACAAAATTGCTGGTAAAAAATATGGATCAAAAGGCAAAATCCAAATTGCAAGAAATCTCAGAAATAAAAATTGAAAATAAAGTCAGATACCTCGGGGTAAATATCTCAAATAGCAATATAAATCTAGTAAAAAATAACTATGAATTATTATGGCGAAAAATACAAAAGGACCTAAATAGATGGAAATACCAGAACATCTCATTACTAGGTAGAATTGCAATAATCAAAATGACGGTACTGCCTCAACTCTTGTTTTTATTTCAAACCCTGCCGATACTGAGAAATAACCATCTATTCAAAAAATGGAACTCTGATGTGACTAAATTTATATGGAAGGACCGTAAACCTAGAATAAGCCTGAAAATCCTAACGGATGAAAAGAAGAGAGGAGGCCTAGGGCTGCCAGATTTCAGGGCCTACTACAAGGCATGTAATCTGGTAGCAATAAAGGAATGGGCCATATTAGAGAATAAACCATTATTAGCGCTGGAAGGACATGAGTTAAGGGTTGGGTGGCACGGATACCTATGGTATCAAAAGAGAAAGGTGGAAAAAGCCTTCAGTGATCACTATATAAGAGCGGCCCTAATAAAAACGTGGGAAAAATACAAACCCAGATTATTTACAAGAACACCGTTATGGGTCTCCCCAATAGAAGCCAAACATAAAAGAGAATTAGAAGAAAAGAATTGGTTAACGTACAAGCAGTTATTAAAAAAGGACGAAGCAAATGGGAATTTAATCTTAAAATCAATAGATGAGGTAAAACAAATAAATAGGAAAATCACATGGCTAAATTATCACCAAATTCATCAAGAATATAAGGAAGATATGACACGGGGATTCAATCAAGAACATGGAATATGGGATTTAGTAATGGAAAAGAAAAGGAAATTAATTAAAATTATATACCAACAACTACTTACTTGGGCCACCGAAGAAGAACAGATTAAAAATTGTCAGGTGATTTGGGCAAAAGACTTAGGGCACAGTATATTAATGAAACAATGGGAAGAGATTTGGAGGACAAAGATAAAATACACAGAAGCCAGCGATCTAAGGGAGAACTGGTATAAAATGTTCTTCCGCTGGTATTTTACACCAGAAAAAATTTCAAAATTTAATAAACAAGGCTCAAACCGATGCTGGAAATGCAGAAAGGAAAAAGGAACGTTCTTCCATCAATGGTGGTCCTGCAAGTTAGTTAAAAAATATTGGAAAGAGATACACAATGCCACGCAAAAAATTATAAAATCTAGCTTCCCCCAAGCACCAGAAATATACCTATTAGGAATCACAAACATAAAATTAGATAAGAACCAAGAAAAAATACTCTTTCTGCTAAGTACAGCAGCAAGAATGCTCCTTGCCAAAGTCTGGAAACTAAACGTAATTCCAAGCCTGGAAGAATGGTGCCTGAAAGTATTAGATATAATCCAAATGGACGCCCTCTCGCAGAGACTAAAAGGAACAAATAAATGTACAGATTGGTCGGGATTTAGAGAATATATAAAAACTAAAGAGCTCCCTTTACAGATAGATCTGTCTAGCATCTGAAGAAAAAGACCACAAAATCTTCGTCGGCTTTGAAACACAGAAACAACGGGAGATGAAGATTTCCAGAAGACTGACGGGAAGCTACTGCAGCCCCCCTTCCCCCCCCCTCCTCCACAACCTCGCATCACCTCCAACCCCCACGCCCCAGCACAATGTTTCACTTACCTACCCTCTCACCTACCTTACCCCTACCCTACCCCTACCTACCCTACCAGATACTACCCTACCCCAATTGCTGTATTTATGCAAAAACTCCAATAAAAAATTATTTACAAAACTTTTGCATACATATAGCTGCACAATCATTTCAAGACTGTATCAGCATATATATAGTTGGTACCTGGCACTTGATGAAACATCTTTGAAGAAACTCTTATATGGAGATGCCCCTATGAAGAAAGTCATTTCTAAAAGGGAAGCATTCAGGATATGATTTCTTTATTTATGATAAAAACAATAAATAGAAAACTTCCTTGAAACATGGAGAAACTTGTAGGCTGAAGCTGTGGGCAGATTGAAATGTTTCAAATTTGTAAAAAGCACCAAAGATATATCAAAGGTGGGGAAATAACTCTACCAGAGTCTATACTGCTCCTTCTAAGAGGCACAACTGTGCATAGGAAGGTTCTTATGTCAGTCATGAACCTAAATAATTTTGGCTTTATCTGCTGAGATGTTTAAAACTCCCAAATTAAATAATGTAAGTATTTGGAACTTGCAGGTTTTGTTTCACATTGTTATAAACATTCACTTTCAATCATCTTGCCAAAAATCTGTGAAATTATTATTTAGATTTACCAAATTGGCAATAAGTATATATAACCAGGAAACTGGTTTCTAATGGCTGCAAGATTTTGTTTACAAACTTATTTTCTACTGAGGTGAAGTGCTGCAGAATAGTATAAGCGTATAATGGTATTGATTATAGCTTAATATCTGTTACTAGGACTGTTTCCAGGGAGATTTGGGCTCCTACTACTCAGAATAAAACAATGTAGTGTGCAGCTGTTCTGTTCTTTTTATCTGTCAAGGAAAAGAAAGATGAAATAAACTATAGGAAAACACTGCTGTAGTTGACATTTTTTTGTCAACTTTCATGGATAGGCCATTGGAAAAGCCTTGTCTAGAAGCATCTTGGAGTTTCCACAGCATCTTTGATATATTTCTAAGGCCAAAAATAAAAATAAAATCTGTTAATAATTCATTATCAAAATTAGTATTAATATTCAAAACACAATGCCAAGATTTTAGATAAAGTTATTAGGGCCCAGTTGTTAGCTTAAGTGGAAGCTGTTGTCATCACTAAGGACCATCTTCACTAAAGTGAGTTTATCGGAATGAATGATATCCTTGAGAGTTATAAAGACTAGGTCTGTTACCTCTAGTTAAGAGTGAAAAAGAGGGGATGATACGTATGGAAGGAAGTCAACTAAGTTAAAGGTACCAATCACTAGAAGAGCCAAGTTGGTATAGTGCATTTGAGTGTTGGACTCTGGAGACCAGGGTTCATATCCCACTCAGTCATGGAAACCCCCAGAAGTAACCTTGAGTAACACTTTCTCAGCCTCAGAGGAATGACAAGGCAAAATCCCTCTGAACACATCTTGCCAAGAATGCCCCAGCATCTAGTAAACGACTAGAAGGCATATACCAAAAACAACCAGTCTACAGTGAGAAAGCAAGAGAACAACAAAAAACAAAACAAAAATAGAACCTTGATTTCAAATCTTTTTTTCCCTTCAGTATCATTTAGTCATTTTTGCAAGCACTTTCAATGTCAGCTACCAAGCTCAGTGTCATAGCACATACTAACAGTAGGCAAAGTGACCCACACTGAATTTTTAGAACTGATAATTTAAGAAAACATAAACAGAATCTCTGATAGCCAATTTGGAAAAGTCTTCTGTTGGAGACTCTGAAATACTATTGTCTGACATACTAGCTGAGAGCCCAAGGATGGATGGATCAATAGTACAAAAAAACTTTGTATCAAATATATAATCTGCTTGTTTGAAGAGTTTAATTTCTGACCTACTTAGTTCAGATATTATCCAAATAAACTTCCTGGGAGTATTTTAACCACTCTGTATTTCCAGAAACACGCCCTTTGAACAATTACACTGATTGCCTCAGCCAGTTCCTCAAGGAAGAGAGTGGGAAATCCCCCAAATTAAGATATTGCACAAGAGACTAAAATATCTTACAAATATTCTTAAGGCTGCATTCATAGCAGTCACTAATAAACCAACTATGGACAATCTGGTGTACCTTTAAGTATCAAATATGTACACTTTTACAGAATCTAGTATGAAACATACAGATGTATACATCATTCTCAAATTAGTTAATTAATTTAATTAGATACATATTTTTGGTTTTTTTACCTGCATACCAAGGACCAGAAATTCCTCATTATCTGCATACACCATTCCGTCATCTGTCAAATAGCATAAAGGTGAGGATAAGCTGCAGAGGCATTCACACCTGGCTGGAGTTTTAACATTTCTTTTTCGAGTATGTTGAAAATATTCATTTTCCTGAACACAGCTAGGGAAATATATTAAAGCAGCACCAAATAAGCATGCACATAATGGATTGCGAGCCAACTGTCATGTGTACCAGAACTGATAATTTCACAAAAACTATATACAAATTCTATTTGATAAAGAAATTCATTAATAAAATTAACTTGCAACCTATACATGCCTTGAGCAATATATTTAAAATAAATGACAGGACAGAGAAAGGTTCCAATAATAGTTACTAAAGCTGTCCTTGTATAGCCATATTAGACAACCCATTGCAAATAGAAAAGTGTATTTCTATGTTTTATTTTATTTGTTCATTTATTTTGCTTTTTGCAATCATATTTGAATTATTATTATTGTACTATCATATGTCTTCTTTTCTGGGAATGATATGTTTTGGATAAACCAGTAAACTACTCTGAGATAATAACTTGTTCAGACACTTTTTTTTATTGCTGATTTGATTATGTCATTGTTCCAGAACTAATAAGAAAAATTACTTTCTTCCCACATACTTGTATTTCCATTATCCCTGAAACATTTTGTATACTTTAATTGATTTTAAATTTACAAATATAATGACTGTAAGTTAAATGATGCAAAGCAGATTGGATGATTTGCACAAAGTACCAGTATTTTATAGTTAGCATTTTAAAATAGACACTGAAATTCTTATTATGTAGGCAGATAGATGCTTGTGAACTGTGGTGCCGGAGGAAAAATTCGGAGAGGGTCTTGGACCGCAAGAAGATCAAACCAGTCCATACTCCAGAAAATAATGACCAACTGCTCACTGGAGGGAAGGATATTAGAGGCAAAGATGGAGTACTTTGGCCACATAATGAGAAGACATGAAAGCTTGGAGGAGATAATGATGCTGGGGGAAACTGAAGGAAAAAGGAAGAGGGGCTGACCAAGGGCAAGATGGATGGATGTTATTCTTGAAGAGACTATCTTGACGTTGAAGGAGCTGGGGGTAGTGACAGCTGACAGGGAGCTCTGGTGTGGGCTGGTTCATCTGGTCACGAAGAGTCAGAAATGAATCAACAAATAAACAACAGCAGGTCTTATTAAAAACTTTAAATCAATTTGTACTATAGAACCTAATGGACTTCCCACTATAGCTCACTCACAAGCCAATACAAAAGGTAGTGGATTGCTTACTTTGATACCCAGAGCTGTCAGTTCTTCCAATGGAAAGAATTCTGATGTTAGTAATATTAAATATATTTTAAATATTCACTATGTCCTATTAACTTTCGCTAAAATCCTACTGTTGACTAGGGATCACATATAGTACATTAATTTATGTGCAATAAATGAAAATAGCTTATTGTAAGAACAGAAAAACTGTGAAACAATAATATGTGGCAATAGGAGAGTCCAACAAGCAAATTTTAAAGAGACTTACGAGGCTAAGGGGTGTTTTCTGTGTAAGTGTTGCTGTAGCTCTCCAATAGTCCACACTGCTGCTCTACATGCAGGATCAGTTCTAGAATGAGAGCACATGTCAGCTGAAATATCTAAATAGACGGATGGGTGTCTACATGGATGGAGATATACAGATAGATGCGTTTGACAAGGTCTTGGGTCTTCTCTGTCAAAGAATTCTGGTGCCTCACCAAACTACAAATCCCAGGGTTTCTTAGCATTGAGCCCTATTCCTTTAATTAGAAATTACATCCCTCAACTAGGAGCTCCAGATGCAGCTCCTGAAACAGCTTGCCCCTTTGCTTTTTCTCAGTACTAAGATTACTACATGACACAACTCTAATGCCCACCCCAATTTTGGCAAGGTAATTAGTCAAAAATGTGAGCATTAAATTTGAGTAATACGGTATTTCACATATTCAAACATGCAAACACTGCAGATTATTCGCTGCCTATAGGTTCTGCCTTTCATAGAAGTGTCCCCATTCAATTTTCATAAGTCTTTCAATATTGAAGTGTTGTGTGGTTTCCGAGCTGTATGGCTGTGCTCTAGCAGCATTTTCTCCTGAGATTTCACCTGCATCTGTGGCTGGCATTTTCAGAGATGAAGGCGAAACGTCAGGAGAAAATGCTGCTAGAACATAGTCATACAGTCCGGAAACCACATAGCACCCCAGTGATTCTGGCCGTGAAAGTCTTTGGCAATATATCTTTTAATATTTTCTCACTATCTCCTTCTCTAATTAATATAGAATTTGTATTACATATTTCACAGTAGTACTAAGGAATTCTGCTTCAACGTTTTCAAAATTAAATTTCCTCTAGTTCATTATGCAACTTTTCTTTGTGTCAACTTTTCTTTTTAAAAATGAAACTTAATAGGAAGTCTTTAGGCCTTAGTTTGTTCAAAGTGCATGATAGCAGTATTTGTCATATACATGACAGTGGGTGTGACTAAATTTGGCAGTCACTCCACAGGTCATAATTAGTTCAAACATTATGTTTATCACATGCTTATAATTATCCTTTGTCTACTTAAATGTTCAAAATGCTTCAGAAATCATGTTATTACTAAACAACGGGAACAGACTGGGAGATAATAAGCCTGTTGTTATTGCAATCCTTAAAAATAATGACATAAACCCTACATCTAAACTTAGAAAACGTATAATTTACTGCTACATAAATCATACAAAAGATTAGAAGTGTTTTTTTAAACCTGCATTTAATTTTTCTTATATTGCAGTTTGTATTTGTGAACACATATATGGACATGCCAAACACTTGTTGAATCTCCCTTATGCGGAAATCTGAAATACTCCATAAACCTCCTTTTTTTGTGCTAGCTGCCCGTTTCCATTTTTGGGGAAAGGAGAACAGATCTCACATTATCACTTGCTGGGGTTTTCCATGGGAATGACCTTACTCCTTCACTGTTGGAGATTTGGAGAGGGAGAGCAAAGTGCAGGGAGGATTTCAGGCCCTATGGACCAGTTCCAGAAGGACACCTGTGAAGGGCAGATATGCCAGACATTTCATCATTGATCTTTCATCCTGTTAATGACATCACACTATGGGTTGGGAACCCCAGATATCTCCCATGGGGCTGAGTGTGAAGTGACCCCCTTGGTTTCCACTTGTATCCAGCACACAGAGCATTAGACTCTACTAGTGTAGGAATGGGGGTAAGAGGTCCTCCTCTCTTCCTAGCTACTTTACTAAAAGGGTACTGTAGAAAGTGTGTTGAGAGCCAGGAAAGTGTTTGGGACACCTGCATTTTTCAGCGGCCTTGAATAAATCCAGTTCCCTTTCTAGCATTTTGGATTCATCTTCAAATAGAAGTCATCATCATTTCATCTCTTTTATATATTTCCTCATATTTTTTCCATGACATTGTATTTTGTTCCCATTAAGAGTGGAATGAAAATTTGCGAGTGTGCTACCTGGGGTTTAATTTTAAGTCTTCAAGAAACTTAAGCAAGAAAAAAAAATCAACACATGAAAAGTTTCTGTAAATGGAGGGAACTTTTTTGTTTGTTCCTGGAACACGTTTTGAGAACTGTATTAAATTTGAGACACTGCAGGTTTGTAGCAAAAAAAAAAATGCACCTGTATTCTTTTTGCTATACAGAAAACTTGTTTTGAATACAAGTTTAGTCTTCCTTATCTGAAATGCTTGTGGCCAAAAGTATTTTCTGAAGCTGACTGGATTTTGGAATGCCTGCATTTACATATACATAGTGAAACAGGGACGGGGGGAAATAGGGTAAGTTAGCCACCCAGCAGCTACTGACACCTCTATGAGCCCTCACTTCTCCACTGTCAGAAATATGATTGTTGGGGGGGGGGGGGGGGAGAGGGAAAGTTGGGGGAAAAGTGGGAGCTACTCTAAGTGTACTTGGGATAAATAAATCACCAGGAATCAATCAATAAATCAATCCACTCAAACGCTAACAAAATTCTAAGAAACATCTTCCAACAAATATGGAAAACAAACACGTAAATATACTTTCCAGTTTCCAAAAACGGGGATGGCAGAAATGTTAGTAACCACTGGACTATTTCACTAATCTCTCATACAAGCATAGTGATGCTCAAGACTTTAAAAGAAAGATTTCTACCATATATGGATTGAAAATTGCTACTTTGTCCAAGTTGGGTTCAGAAAGGGAAGAGGTACTAGGGATTATATTTCAAATACAGATTGAAAAATGGAAAGACTTTTGATTGTGTAGATCATGGCTCACTTTTTTAAAAAATGAGAATTGCACAACATCTAATTATCCTGGAGCATTAGATTGTCTTGACTGGCAAGGGGATCAGACAAGGCTACGCTTTATCACCCTATCAGTTTAATTTATATGTAGAACACATGTATCAGAGGAAAAGCAGGATTAGACTCAAGAGAAGCAGGTGTGAAAATTGTGGGAAGGAACATCAGCAGTTGAAGATATGCAGCTGACAACATGCTACACGTGGAAATGACTACTGAAGGAAAGTGCAAGCACAGGGTTATCATTAAATATCAATACACAAATAATATCTATACATGATTTTCATAACTTAAAAGTGGGCAATGAAGACACTGAAAAATCCAAGACTTTTTATATCTTAGCTTAGTCATTAATCAAAATGGAGACTATATTCGGGAAGTCAGAAAATGACTAGGACTTGGAAGAGCAGCTATTAAAGAATTGAATAAGATCTTCAAATATCAAAGTCAGGATAATTCATGCTCCAATATTTATAACTTCTCTATATGGGTGTGAATTCTGGACAGTAAATAAAGTGACAGTGGACTGCTAAAAATACACATGGATTTGTCCTAAAACAAATCTATCCTGAATCTCCCTAGAAACTAAGATGAATAAATTGAAACAGCTTGTATCCTGAACAGATCACAAGACAGTATGACTCACTGGAAAAGATGATAATGCTTGATAAAGTGGAAGACGGTGAGAAAAAAAGGAAGACTGAAGGTGGCTAACTTGAATCAAGGAAGCCATAGATTTAAGTCTGCAAGACTTAAAAAGGGCACTTGATAACTGGCGATGTTGGAGGTCTCTCATTCATAGAGTCTACAAAATTTGAAGTCAGATTGACAGCAAACATTGAACAAAGCAAGTGCAAGCAAGAGTGTGTGCACATATAGCACTGCTAGCGGTGACATAAAGTACAGTAAAGCTTTAACCCTAATATAGCAAGTGAGTGCAGAACAGTTTCCTGAACAATTTGTTAGTTGATAACTAACACTTTACATCTTCGCTGATAGATTATTTCACAAAATTCAGTAGAAGGGAAGTAGTTCAGAAAGCATCCCCATTATTAATCAAGAAGATTGAAGTGCTAGATCTTGAATTTCTAAATCTGTACAAATGTGATCAGCATGAAAACTATGGCAAAGTATGGTATGCTAATGCCTGCATTAAGTGAATGGTCTCTCCAGATGCATTACATTCACACACAAACTGAGAATTCGCACATGCAAAAGATCTTTGAACCTTGGCAGTAGTTTGGTTCCAGTAATTTGCACAGAGCTATTTTTCAAGAATATAAGAATCCTTGTACATCTGCAAGCCATTCTGGGCTTTTATTTCAACTATAACCCATTCATATGATACAAAAGCACTTAGCAAGGTCGAGTGTTTCTCATGACCTGCTTAACATTGTTTTGTACAACACACCCAACTTTCTCCTCTAGTTGCACATTCTAAAAGATCAGTATCAGTACACAAACTATCATTTGTCTGTACTATCAGTCTTTACTTTCTGCTTGATGAGCTTCCAAGAAACAGGGCTCCTGGGACCATGTTTTAAAATAACTGATCTAGAAAATACAACACATGAACATTTTAATTTAATTAATAATTAACAAAACTGCTGCAAAACTGAATTTCAACAAATACAGTGCAAGATCCCATTCCAAATTATTAGATGGGGTAGAGCAGGAAGGGAGATTAATCCTGTTCAAAGTAGGTCAGATTATTCATGAAAGAAAGAGCAATGAAGTCTCAATTTTACCTAGCTGGGATGGAAATGGGAAAGTATCATAACTGGTAAATTAACCCACACATCCTTTTCAGGAGTACAACCTGATCTGAACATATTCCACTACCTCTGAAAAATAGGTATGAAGTTTACAGGTGCTTCTAATCTAGACCAATCCTAATTCATGAAAATCATGAGCCTACTGTGCCCAGCAGTGCCTCTGTCCAGGATTGGCTACAGTCATGGCAGTATCTATTTTACTTATTAAATTTATATCCCACCATTCTCCCAGCATGGGATTCAAAAACCTTCCTGGTCACAATAATTGATGCCTTTCTCAGCTGTAGTTTAAATTGCTCCAATCAATGAGTTATTGCCTTTAAAAACTGCTAAGAAATTGCAGCTAGTGCAAAATACAGCAGCCAGTTTGCTTTCTCTGCAATCTGTGGAACATTCCGAATCCACTAGTATACAGTAAATGAATCCGGTTTCATGAGTCTCCAGCAGGGTGGGAGACAAGTGTGCCAATTTCCCAGTTTGAAGTGGCTCAGCTCCAGGCAAAAGAAAATGGCACATCTCCAACTCAGTTAGGAAAGCAGCACCATGTTTCAGTTTCCAAGGCTAAATTGATTTGTTGCTGCAGCTTGCAGGGAGTCTATATTAGCTTTATGTTTACACAGGTACAATAACATATACAATTAGTTTTATGTTTATACATATAGGCATATTGTTGGGGTTTCTAATGTCACATTTGTGCCGACTGGGCAACAAAGGGAAATGTGGTCAAATAATGTTCTACTTTGATGCTTCTTTTGCTTAGAAGGAAAACTTTACATTGCAATTGTCTAAATAGTGCTCCTTTTTAAGATGTAGGAATATCAGACCATTAACTAAAGCAGTGATTCTCAACCTGGGGTCCCCAGATGTTTTTAAATAGAGCAAATCTGTATTTTCACTGGAAGTCAAAATGATGAAACTGAAGTGGTCATATTGGTTATTAAAACTGCAATAGTGATAGCCAGAATTTTGCTATAGTTTTTCAATGAATATCTCACAGAGTCTCAACCAATTCAACATAGTTTGTGGCAGCCACAAAAATGAACTTTCTAGAGTATAACAACTACTTTCAAAGTAAGTACCACATAATTAAACAGGAAGTAGCACTTTCAAACCCAGACAGATTTTTTTTTTAAAAAAAGTTACGTAGTGTTAGAGAAGCAAAAGGTAAGAACTTAGTCTGATCTGGGAGAACCTAAAAGAAGCACTGAGCTCTGCTGCTCCCTCTGCTGCAGCATCTATCCTTTTTTCATGTGTGACTTGGAAAATGGTGGCCACGAAGGGCAGCTAGACACCTGAGGTACTGCAGACCTTTCCCCTCTCTATGAAATGAACCTCGACTTACACACAAGTCATATGAAAATCCATAATTTTGGCTCCCAAATCAGCCATAGACTTATACATGAGGATATATGGTAATAATGGACAACCAATCAAACACTGACACAAAGAATCAATCCTTTGATAATAGATCTATATAGAAGGCAATTGTAATTTACATGTAGAACCACAAAGTATAACAGAAATGCCCTGTTTGTGCAGAACAATTTGTTATGTTGTGTTTAAATTTTCAGTATAAAACCACTGACTGCTAATACTTAGAAACAAAAAACATATTTTCAACATCAAAATGTGTTTCTGACATTATATTTCTTTCCTATATTAGATGGAGGTAAAGATCAATAAATTTCACCATTAGTCATGTATCATCATTTTTCTCCTTCGAATAAACATTCCACAAGAGTCCAAAAAGTCAAGAAAAACACTTAAGATTCTCAATCTTTACCAAAGATTCAACAAAGAGATTTATACATTGGCTTCCTTTTATACTTCTATCAGTAAGGTAAATTATCTAAATCTATTTCATTCCTCATCAATTATATTATTTTAACATAATATAAAAAACTGGGGCACCTGTTGTCATTATGTTTATATGCAGAAGAGCAATGGAAAATCATCTGAGTTATTTCCCATTGTGACATTTACGAATTATTCTATTATAAACTATTTTGAATGTCTACATTGCCATCATTATATTACCTTGCTGTATAGACCCATATATCCCTGGGTGTCAGGAGAAGGTAAATTGTTCCACTGGCTCGGTTATACGTAAAGCTTAGAATTGACTGGAGCAGAGGAGAAGGAGGTGGCAGAACTGTGCTTAACCGTTTCCCATTATAAAGAGAGAATATCCTTAAGCTTTGAAAAGAAACAGAGAAATAAACAATACATTTCAGAAATTTTGTAAAAGAAGAAAGCTCTTTTTAATTCTCATAATAGTTAAGAACATGGGTGATTGAAGGACTATGGCTACAAGAATCTTTCTAGCACCAAGGTTGGTGACTATGCTACTTCTGGGGATGGAGTTCTGAGAACTGTAGACAAAAAAGTAACAATTCTAAGCTCTGTTTTTTTAAAAAAATGACAGTAGTGTTTCTGGTAGGTATAGTCTAGATACAGTATATCCCTGAGAACAAGTCCCTGAAATTACAGTGCAGATAGAAAACTGTGGATAATAATGACCTCTACTGAAATAAATGATGTCTGCAAAAAATTTCCATAGAGTCTCTCTGTAGGACCCGAAACTTTTTTAGAGAAGTTCTCCAGTAAGATTCTATAGCATCTTCTGGCAGAAACACCACAGAATCATCTGGAAGACCTAAAAAATTCCTAGAGGACACATTTTCTCAGATGCAGGTAGGTGAAATGCCAATAATGGTTCCACAGATATGAGGGATGTACTGTAATGATATCAAAGTATTTGTTTTGAGAAAAGTAACAGTAATGTGATTTGTTTTCAATGATATTCTGAATTATCTTGCTTTATTCATTTTACAGAAGTTTTCATTTTTTTGCTATTTTTCTTAATAAGCCAACATACCTGTTGTCCACACCCATAGCAACTACTCTGCTGGATTTCCCATCAGCACCACAGAGGTAGAGATTACTTATAGGACTACTGACATAAGTCCAAAAGCTGGTTAATGAATTCAAATCATATATATGTAGACTGCGGGCAGAACAGCAGTACAGAAATTGATCCTCCATTATACCAATCCAAAGTATTCCTTCTTGGAACAGTGATATGCTAGATATAAGCAAACAGTATTGTATAAACAATGAGAAGGTCACGCACTGTGCATACTACAGAAAGAACTACCGGTAGATTGAAATCCCTATCAGCAAAGTCTCAAATTCACTGAAAGAGTAAGGCCTCATCTACACTGCCATACAAAATCTAGATTATCTGCTTTGCACTGGATGATAAAACAGTGTAGGCTCGGGCCTCTTCTATACTGCCATATAAAATCCAGATTATCTGCTTTGAACTGGATGATATGACAGTGTAGACAACTGTCATATACTGCCATATAATGTGGGTTATCTGCTTTGATAATCTGGATGATATGGCAGTGTAGAAGGGGCCTGACATAATACAGATTATCTGACACAAAGCAGATAATCTGTATTATGTGCTTTGATAGTCTGGATTATATGGCAGTGTAGATCCAGCCTAAAAATGACACCTATTTCCCAGCCCTATTTGCACTACAGCCTTTATATTCATGACCCCTGATTATCCTGCTTTAGAATGACAGAATATGTAGTCCAAAGTGTCTAATGGCTTGATACTACTAGAAACTAGATTTTGATTGAATATTACAAGGTACTGCTTGACAGTAAGAGTGGTTTGGTAATGGAACCAGTTCTTTTCCCCCAAAATGGAACTCAAAGAAACTAATAAAACTGTATACAGCAAATGAAATTAAAATATAAAACAAATATTAACATAATTTTAAAAAAATGTTGGCAAAGCCAGAGTTTAAAGCCCCCCTAATGGCCTAATGCCTACCAGAATAAAATAGTATTTGTCTATACTGTAGTCCACAGTGAATTTCCAGGACAGCCCTATAGTATGTGTATTTATTTGTTAGTTCCAGTGAATTCAATGAGGTTTACTACCCAAAAAAATATGCATAAAATTGCCTCCATTGGAAATATTACTTTATGCCTTGTATGCAAACTAAATAATTTGGGTCCAGAGGTACCTTTTACTTCTGAAAGGAAACATCTGCAGACAAGCCCTATATACTGACAAATTAGATTATACTACCTGTAAAAAACTTCCATGCTATCAAACGACCAGAGTTTGACCGATCCATCAAGAGATCCAGAGATAAATAAAGAAGCAATGCTTGGATGGAGAAGAATCTTAGTGACAGTTTTGGAATGACCTTGAAATACATGTAGCAAGTTGCCTTGTCCATTCCAAGATTTTACTGGGCATAAAATAAAAGGAAAATACTCGTCATTTACTAATAATTGAGTTACAGGTATTATTGCATTGGGTTCAAAATGTTCGTTTCCTCTTAGCTTAAATTACCTGGAACAGAGTACACGGAGGTCTGGTTTTAAAATATTACAGAGAAGCAGAATGAGCTCCCTACCTCTAAATCAAGGGCGTTCTTGATAGGTTCTCAATCTTCAACACTCCTTCTGGTGTTTTGGACTTCAACTCCCAGAGTGCCATCCAGCTTACCAGCTGTTAGGAATTGTGAGTGCTGAAGTCCATCACATTTGAAGGATCAAAGATTGAGAACCACTGCAGTCTATCATATATCTGTGTTGTTAGGTGCATAATTGAGTACAGTTTAGTCTCCAGGTTCACATTGCTCCATCTACCAAGATCCATTGCTCCATCTACCAAGCTCCATCTACCAAGATCCACTGATTCTCTGTACTTGAATTACTGGGGTGATGGGGGATATGGCTCTCTTACTTTATGTGGTTACTCCCATAATTACCTTTAAAAAAAAGACTTCACCTGATTTCTGATGAGCATTTTCAACCCACTGCATAATCCACCTGATTTAGGAAGGCCCTCCAGTCTTGAGGAAGAGATTTTAAAAGGATGGTAGGGGAATAGAGGACTAAACTAAGTAAGTAAGTAAGTAAGTAAGTAAGAGGACTAAACAGCTACTTTCCACCTCCAATCTCTTGGCACTTCTCAGGATCCAAAAAAAATATAAATCCTATTTTCTTGGCTATAATTTGAAAAATGTTTTCCATGAAGTGAATTCTATTCACATATCAAAACTCTGGATCCAACTGGTAGATTACTTTCCAATACTCTACCCAACATAATGCAAATCATGGAAGATACATAAAAAGTCCAATTGCCTTCATTAGTGGAAATTCTTTCCTAGTGTCATAGCATCAACTAACACTATTTGTGTGATCAATGTTAATTTCTATAGAAAGACACTCTCAATCTCAGACCATCTGATGAATCCTTCTGGATATGTTACGATTCTTGTTTTCATTTTGTGAAACAGAATCAAAACCTCCATAAATGTTTTCGCAATGATTATGATAACAAAATCAAAACTGAGGTTTGGACTGGAGAGAACATACAATAATTTAATAGTAAATTTATTTTTAATGTTATTATAAGCATGGTCAAAGCAGCTAATCAAACTTTGTATGAGGTAAAAGCATAGGTTCTGTTTAACTTTTCTGCAACTCAACATCCCTGCTGTGTATTTTTGTCTCCAAACAGCAAACTGTACCACTGGGTCTTGATGTCTTGGTGACCCAAAATATCATTTTTACAAACTGTCTTGTTTTCATAAAGCAGGTCTAGGGAAAAATGTTTCAACAGTATTCCTCCATGGTATTTTGGGAAGTGAATAATTCAGAGGGTATTAATGGTTTCTAAACAATAAAAGCTGCTGTTAAATAAAGGGGTAAGTTCCAAGTGCAGATAAGCTCCTGTTTTACTGAATGAACTTACTTTCACTGCCTTTGGAAGAAGTAAGAAAAATTCCAATTTTAGCTGAGTAGACACAACAAAGAATAGCAGTTTCATGTGCATTTAGTATCTGAAGTAGCATTTTCCCATTGATGTCATAACAGTAGAAGTGGCCTTCGGAAAAACAGTAGTATCTTTGCATAGGAACATCAAAATCCATATTTGTACACCAGCTTTTCCCCATGTATGGATACACTGCACTGTATTGTAAAACATCGATAAAACATTGCAACATGAATATTCTTTAAATATCATCTAAAAACAAACCTAGGTGAAAAACAGATATACATTTGGTTCCCAAGTTATGAACAAGATGGGTTCTGTAGGTTTGTACTTAAATTGAATTTGTATGTTAGTCGGAACAGATAAATTTTGTCAGTGTAACTAAAGACACATACACATACATACACACACATGTGTGTGTATGTATGTGTATGTATGCATGCATGCATGTATGTACGGATAGATAGATAGATAGATAGATAGATAGATAGATAGATAGATATAGGGCTAGCTTTGGATAACACAGAGAATTGTTAACACCCCTGTGTGTTTGGCTTGCTGTGGAAATAAGGACTGGTGATAGAGCTTCAGTTGAAATACATTTCCCCCATGATAACTCTTTCAGGAGTGAATTTCCCTTCCTGTGGGTAGATTTCTCTTACTTCCTGTTAATTAACCCCAGCTATTAACTATGAGTCATTTATAAGTTGAATGTCTGTAACTTGGGGACATTTTGTAACTTGGGGACAAAATATGCTTGAAGCAATCTTTCAAAGGAATTAAGTGGTGGCTTCTAGAAAGCTGAGGGACAAGAAAAACTGAACTATCTGATGTCCCAGATTTTATTTATTTATTTCCTATATTTATACCCTGCCCTTCTCATCCCCGAGGGGGGACTCAGGGCAGCCTAACAAAGCACCATATGGTGTCAACACCACAAAACAATTAACAGTACAGTAAAATGTTAAACAATAGTTAAAAACAATTGATTAACATACGTCTATTATAATCCAGTCCGGGTCAAATCAATGCCATAAATGTTAAACTCTTCTTTCAATTGCTGCACACTGATCAAACGCTTGGTCCCACAGCCAGGTCTTGATTTTCCTTCTAAAAGACAGGAGGGAGGTGGCCATCCTGATGTCTCTGGGGGGAGCGTTCCACAGGTGGGGGGAGGCATTGATGAGAAGGCCCTGTCCCTCGTCCCCACCAGTCGCTTTTGTGATGTCAATAGAATCAAGAGCAGGGCCTCCCTAGATGATCTTAAGTTTTGTGATGATTTGTACCAGGAGATACGTTCGGAGAGGGAGTCTGGGCCAGAGCCGTTTAGGGCTTTAAAGGTTAAAACCTGCACTTTGAATTGTGCTCAGAAACTGATCGGCAGCCAGTGGAGCTGGTGTAACAGAGGGGTTGTATGCTCCCAGATGCTCCCACTGGTAAATGGTAAACGGTCCGGGTCAAACACGAGTCTATCAATCAGTCCAGGGGAGTAGGCAATACCTTGGTCGAAAACAGTCCAGTCAAAAGCCAGGAAAAAGATCGTAAGAGTGCTCGCAAAGAGAGAGGTTCTCAAGCTGTCTTGCTGAAAAGCGCGGAGAAGAGAACTGTTGGCTAGCCCCGCCCACGGGCTACTTATACTCGGGGGAAGAGTGGGCGGGGCCAGCCAGGGTTAAGTGTAACTTTTAGTTCTAGAAGGTTCCGAAAAGCTGTATTGCGCAGGCGCAAATACCACATGTATGATTCACAGTGACTACGACAGGAAATATATGTGCATATTGGGTAGTTTATTGAGACTCAGACAAATTGATCCACAAATCAACTTTGCACTTTATTCTTTTTCAGCATTTCTTATAATTAAAACATAGTTGAATTTCAGCTTTGTACAGAGTGTATAACCCTAGTCTATGGGTTAATTTTATTTCTGTGCACAAAAACACTGAATTATGCTTGTACTCTTCTGCCATTAAGTTATTAGGTGATTTGACACAAATCCACCATGATGAGATACGAAAGAACACATACATTCAATTTTGGTGAAATATTTACACAACACTACTATGTGATTTGAATTTGAATGCATTATGTGATTTGAATGCAATATTCCTGCTTATTGGCAGGGGGTTGGACTGGATGGCCCATGAGGTCTCTTCCAACTCTTTGATTCTATGATTCTATGTGACTAAAATGAATTCAAGGTTTAATGAATTTTAGTGAGGCCACAGTGGGGAGAGATGTACACTGTAGTTTTGATATGTGGATATGGGACAAGTAATAAAAAGGTGGATAAAATGTTATATAAAATCACCCATTCACCCACCTCTACAAAAGAAAACAATGTGTGCTTTGATAGGCATGACAGCATTTGTGACACTATCTTGGGACATTTGATAGCTTCATACCAAATGTTGGAGGGTTAGCTTCAGAGAAAAGCCTAACTTTCTGGTACTGTCTGAAAAGAATGAATCACTATTAAGGAAAAAGCTCTTCTTCTTCCCTACTTAAAAGTAAAGGGGAAACAGACATGTTAGAAACCCGAGGAAGGTAGGACAAATGTTGGAAAAACTTCAAAATCAGAGTCAATTGGCTTGGTAAGACTATGTTATATGATTTAGCATTAATATCAGGTATCCCTTTGTTGTTGTTCATTCGTTCAGTCGTCTCCGACTCTTCGTGACCTCATGGACCAGCCCACGCCAGAGCTCCCTGTCGGCCGTCACCACCCCCAGCTCCTTCAAGGTCAGTCCAGTCACTTCAAGGATGCCATCCATCCATCTTGCCCTTGGTCGGCCCCTCTTCCTTTTGCCTTCCACTTTCCCCAGCATAATTGTCTTCTCTAGGCTTTGCTGTCTCCTCATGATGTGGCCAAAGTACTTCAACTTTGTTTCTAGTCTCCTTCCCTCCAATGAGCAGTCGGGCTTTATTTCCTGGAGGATGGACTGGTTGGATCTTCTCGCAGTCCAAGGCACTCTCAGAACTTTCCTCCAACACCACAGCTCAAAAGCATCGATATTCCTTCGCTCAGCCTTCCCTAAGGTCCAGCTCTCACATCCGTAGGTGACTACAGGGAATACCATGGCTTTGACTAGGCGGATCTTTGTTGCCAGTCTGATGTCTCTACTCTTTACTATTTTATCGAGATTGGACATTGCTCTCCCAAGAAGTAAGCGTCTTCTGATTTCCTGGCCACAGTCTGCATCTGCAGTAATCTTTGCACCTAGAAATACAAAGTCTGTCACGGCCTCCACATTTTCTCCCTCTATTTTCCAGTTGTCAATCATTCTTGTTGCCATAATCTTGGGTTTTTTATGTTTAGCTGCAACCCGGCTTTTGCGCTTTCTTCTTTCACCTTGATTAGAAGGCTCCTCAGCTCCTCCTCGCTTTCGGCCATCAGAGTGGTGTCATCTGCATATCTGAGGTTGTTAATGTTTCTTCCAGCAATTTTCACCCCAGCTTTGCATTCATCAA